GCTTAAATTGGGAACGAAATTGCAGAAGGCATTCATTTTCAGTCCCAACACCTACAAGTTTAAAGATGGAGGACTGAAAAAGATATTTAAAGAAATGAAATTTGAGTCCACTATAACCGAGTTTCAAAGTTCAAAGCTGTTCACTATAAGCGTTAAAAATAACATTATTTAAATAGGAATACGGACGGGACCGCTAAAAAAGTTCACTACATCCGAGTGTTCACTATATCCCAGGTTCACTATTCGACTGTATAATTAAATAAAATTAAAGTAATCACCTTTGGTTAAAATATTCAACAAACTCTAATTAAATTGATTACTTTTGATTGAAATATTTAACAAATTATTTAATAAAATTTAAATCATTATTATTGATTTAAATATTTATCTAACTGCAGTATACTCCCAATATCTTCAAATTGAATGGACGCTAAAAAATTTCGAGAAAGCGAGCTTTCGAGACAACAAGTTCAGAACTAAATATGTTTTTAAAAGTAGAAAATTATATTCTAGAAAATATTACTCTAAAAGGTAGAGACATGAAACATAAGAATAACTTACTATTAAATATGGAAGTAATGATAGTTGACTATAAGTCTAAATACAATGATAATTTTATTTTTAAAAGTAAGACAAAAATAATTATGCATTAAATCAGGGGTCTGTTTAGAAGAAATTTGGGTCCGTTAATGGACCCTTCACAAAATATCTTTTCGTATAAACAGACCCTTCACAAAATATTTTAACTTAACAACGGATCCTTCACAAAATAATTTATTTTTTAATCGGACCCTTCACAAATTTGTTTATCTTCATTGTTGTTTTGTTAATCCAATAAACCCTTCCCAGGAATGGGTGGGGGAAGAAAGACAAATGCAAACGAACTAAGTTTTGTCTTCGGCAGAAGCTTCTTCCTTTATTCGTCCGGACTGAATATTCTGCGTTCAGCAATATAGGCTAAATACCAAATATTTGTATGTTGCATCTCTAATTTAGTAGCTATAATTGCTGTTTATTTTTTAAAATTTAATTTTTTAAATTATAATTATACAGTGTTGAGCATAATCTTGTATGTCTTTACAATTTAAAAACTCCCTGAAAAAGTTTTTTTTTTGCAATAACGGACTCTATTAGCACAAATTCACAAAAGCGGACCCTGGTTGAAAGAATGTGACTTAACGTTTATTTTATATTCACAAATTACAAGTAATTTTTTCACAATTTTACAAAAACGGACCTTTCACAAAATGTCTGGACAGACCCCTGATTAAATAAAAAAGAATTGGTTTACAATAAACATACATTGCGATTTTTCTGAAAAAAATTCAATTTCTATTTCGCAATCGACATAAGAGGTTTTTCGACATAGGAATTCAAATTAACATTAGGTGGACATATAATGACAAGAGAAAAAATATTTTTTTGACATAACAAAGTTTTCAAGACATTGAGAGTATGCTGTATTATATAAAATTATAGCAATTACGCAGATAAAAACAACCCATTGTTTTTAACAAAATATCAGTAAATAGGACCAGTTCTAGAATTAGTGGGTCAACTATATATGAAAAGCAACACCACTAAATCTACATGCTAAATGATTTCCAAACAATGTGGAGCAGGTATGACTTCTGTGGCTGCCTTCACTTTTGGCAACATCCCAGGATAGAAATTATAATATCTCTAAGCTTTACTTCTTCTCATTTCTTTGTTTGGTAAGCCAAATCAATAGAACAACAGGTAGATAAAAGTTGATTTAAAAAAGTTCAGAAACAGATAAAGATTTTACACCTTTTATATTTGGCTAAGTTTAAACCAAACGTTTCAGTTATGCCAAAATAATGAGGTATCAGGGAGTTTTATTAAAGTTTAGGAAAACTTGAAAACTTTCAGAAGTTTTTAAAACCAACAGCATGAAATTTACATTTAAAAACAGTACAAATTTGTGTTTCATAATAAAATGAAACTTCAAATAAGCATTTAAATGGTATTTATTACCTGATTTTTAAATAACTTCATAATTTTAAAATTTTTAAAGAAAATTAGGTGTTTTACATCCATGTTTTTGTTGAATCAGCTTACTGTAGGTCCCACTTAGGACAGAAAAAAAAACATTTTTACTGAACAGTTACTTTTAAAATTCCCTTGCATTAATAAAGTTACATTCACGAAGTTGAGAGTTCATGAAGTTCTAAAAAATCACAAATTGATACATAATTTAAAATAATTATTGATAGGTGTGAGCTTACCGTCTGAAAAGCTTTTGAATTTTCATCACCATAATGTTTAATGAAGTATTCATACAATCCAATATCTGTCTGCCTTCCTAACTGATCCCTTGATTTTGCATTGGGAACACATTCAATAACACCACACTAAAAATAAAAGTATATTACGAGGGTGCTTCGAAAAGTAAAGATACACCTTACTCCAGAGGAAAAGAAAAGTTTTGGCGAGCAAGTTGGCAACACAGGTTTTAACCTTGAACCGTTAGCTTTCTCCTCGCGGTTGTTCGGCATTTCAACGTTGATTCTGGTTGGAGTAGGTCGTGTTTAAAATGACTGCGACGATTCAGAATCCCGCCAAATGCGAAATGAGCTCCGTCATACGTTTTCTTCATGCAAAAGGTCAGAGACCAGCGGATATTCACAAAGAAATTGTTTCTGTTTATGGGAACGTTATGAATAGACAAAATGTAACGAAGTGGTGTCGTCATTTCTCTGAAAGTAGGACTGATATTCATGACGAACAAAAAACAGGTCGGCCATCTGTGATGCCCTTCTTCAGAGAACGGAGGACGCAATTCGTGCGAATAGACGTCTCAAATTGAAAGAATTGCGTCAGATCATACCGGAAGTGTCAATGACAACTCTTTATGAAGTTGTGACTGTCAAGTTAGGGTACAGGAAATTGTGTGCACGCTGGGTTCCAAAAATGTTAACAGAAGAGCACAAAAAGAAAAGGATGGGCTTTGCACTCGACTTCCTCACACGCTATGCAGAAGCAGGTGATGAGTTCCTTGATCACATTGTGACAGGTGACGAGACGTGGGTTTATCACCATACACCTGAATCCAAGCAACAATCAATGCAATGGCGTCGTTCGAATTCACCCAAAGCCAAGAAATTCAAAACTTCGATTTCAGCGAAAAAAATCATGGCTTCCGTTTTTTGGTACAGACAAGGCATTCTTCTGTTGGAATTTATGCCTCCCGGAACGACAATTACTGCTGCTGCATATTGCCAGACTTTGAAACGTCTTCGAAGGGCAATTCAAAACAAACGCAGGGGAATGCTGACAAATGGAGTCCACTTGCTTCATGACAAGGCTCGGCCTCACACAGCGCTCGTAACCAAAGCACTACTCAAACAATTCAAATGGCAAGTATTGGGCCATCCGCCATACAGACCGGATCTTGCTCCCAGCGACTTCCATTTATTCCTTTACCTGAAGTCACATCTTGGTGGAAAATCATTCCACGACGATGATGAGATCAAAGATGAAGTTGAAATGTGGTTCCGGCAACCTTCTATGACTGTGGGATACAAAAGCTTGTGCACCAACTTAACAAATGTTTGGATAATGGGGATGATTATGTCGAAAAATAATAAATAATCGAGTTAATAAGATGTAACTGACGTATTCTAAATAAATGTTTTTTTTAAGGAATGCGATCCATTGTATCTTTACTTTTCGAAACGCCCTCGTATATCAACTAGAAAGATTAAATGTGTTATTTACAACAGAAAATTTCAGTTTTTTTACTGCATAACTTTGTGATATATATATATGTAAACCAGCACAAAAATTGCTTTATTTATCAAGGCATTTAAATTTTTTTATAAATTTATAAAACACTTTTCTAGCGTTCGAGGGAACACTACCTATTAAATTTGACATTTATTCAATGTAAAAGAATTTTCTTCAAACGTTCTTAAGATTGTTTTTAAAGCCATACAATTTAAAAATATGTTATTATTTTCTTTTAAAAATTTTAAATCCTGACAATAATCCTACAAATTATATAAATATTCTGAACATGCCAATAAATAATAATTAAAATAAAACGAAAACACATACCCCTGGAGATGTGGCAACAACTCTGTAAGGGAATAAAAATAAATCCAATCCAACTTGTTTGAAGATATTTTGAAAAAGTGCAATCACCTGCAAGGCTAGCATATCCTAAATAACAGAATAAACATTTCATCACTCAAGATAAACTAATGCTTCTTAATTGCATAAATAAGTATACTTTATAAATACTTATTACCTTAAGATATATTATGGAATAAAAATAAAACAACAAATGCAATTTCTTGCAAATTAAACTGAAGGGGATTCTGTTTCATCAAATATTGAGGAAATAACATCAGTGTTCTGTGCAAGTTTACAATTCTTTATAATCAAAGATGAGTTTCACTGAGAGTTTATTACATGCATTTTTAATAATTGTTTATATTTGATTTTTTATGTCAGGCAAACTCCAGCGAAATTAACTTGGATGGAGACTTGGAGAATAAAAATTAAACAGATTGTTAATTGCATGGAAGACCAATATAAAAAACATATAGGTCTTCCATGCAATTTACAATCTGTTTAATTTTTATTCTCCAACTCTCCATCTAAGTTGATTTCGCTGGAGTTATTTAACCCAGTTATTTAAGAGAAAACATCATTGATTTTTGTTAGCATACAGTTTTTTTAAATCAAAAATGAGCTTCACTTAGTCTTTTACATGCTCCTTATAATTTATTATCTAACAATTTTTTATATGTGGTTTTTTATGTCTAGTAAGTTCAAGTAAAATCAACTTGGATCCTTAGCGAAAGGAAGGACTTTGAATTAGTATTCTTAAATCTACCTAAAATCACATACTTATTTATAGTCTTGTCTTTGAAATGTGTTTTTATAAACATAAATAATGTAAAATCAATGGTAATTGAAATTTTTTAAAAAAAAAAGAGTTAAGTACTAAATTGAAAAATTAATGAGGAAAATTACTTGATTGTGGTTAAATTAGATTACTTTCAGTTGGCACAAGAGTTGAACTTAAAAAACTGTTTTATCTTAATTTAATAACACAAAATCACAAGGAAAGACGACAAATAATTTTTAAAAAAAGGAATTATAAACTCTGTGTTCTATAAAAAGCGTGTTGGTAGGTGCCTTTCAATTATCTGAATTTTACTTACTAGCAGCTAATTTAAAACCATATTGTTTAAGAGTTAAAAACTCTTACAATTTTGGAGGTTTATATCAGTGGCTGCCAATTTTTCTATCAGCGATGGAACCCTAAATGATAAATTTTCTCTCAATGGAACCCCGACTTTATGTGTAAAGTATAATATTACGGCAGTTGTGAAAAGTATAATAATATGGCAGTAATCAATGGAAGACTTAATTATTTTGAAAATATATTTAAGGAAAAACATGCAATTTTTTCATTGTTTCATAATAATAAATTTGGTTTCATATTTGACAGCTAAATTTCCAAGAACAAAGCTTAATCTACTTCAGTTCTGAATTTGATTTTAGTGTATGTATAAGCAGCGAAATAAATATGCCAAATTATGGTTTTTGTTGAAATGAAAACAGAATAAAACTGATATTAAAATTGATAATGTTTATCTGGGAAACATATTTCTTAATAATGAATTTAGTTATTTTATTTTTATTTGAAAAGCATGATGGAAAATTCTAATGAATGTTTGTTTATAACTTATTCAATAAACTGTTAACAGTAATTTTTGAGAAATTGTTTTTAAAAATTTTGCTATTTCTCATCTTATTGGAAATAATTTCATTAAAGTAATTTAAATGAATTGTTCATTATAAATTAGATCAAAATATAATTACAGCCTTCAAAAATCATCCCTGTGCAAAAATAATAATAATAATAAAACAAATTTTCTTATAGCGATTAAGAATTTCAGAATTACTTTGGACAATAATAATTTTCCTTTTAATTATTGAAACTATAATCTTTTAATTCAAAATGTTTAAAAATGTTCAATTAATTTGGTCAATATTGAAGCCCGCATAAGTGGACCCATGCAGTGAGAATCAGGATTTTTTGTCCCTATTGAATATAGAAGGCAGTACTAAATTAAAATGATTTTACCTGATTCAGGATTTTGTCTTGTTTTCCTATTTTTACAAAGAAAACAGCATTGGAATTTTTAAATTTCACTTCATTGTTTTAAGGGTCTGGCAAATTAATATTTTCTGTTACTTCACTATAACTTTCTCTTTGCCGATTTTATATGTAGACGTCAGTGTACTTTTGACTTTTTTTGGTATTTTCGTTTTAAATAGTGTTTCTCTGGCTATTCAATTTTATTTTGAGGTATTGTATTATATTCTTATTTTGTTTTCCATTATGAGACCTCGTGGCAGCCAGTTATTTGTTTAACAGAAAGGCTCCAGCATGTTTGCATGGCAGTGTGTCCCCTAATGATTATGCGCATCTTTAAAATCTCTTTGGTTTTTATTTAAATTCTCCCATTTTCATTTAAAGAGTTTGTTTAAGAAAATTTTGGTTTTAGCTGCTTATAGCGCTTTTCCATATTGACTTCCTCTACTTAAATTCTGGTCTTCATTACCGTTTAATTTAATTTTTATGCTTATATTAAAAATAAAAGTTGTAACACTTGGAATCCTTACGCTTTTTCGAAACTCTAGGGTTCCGTTTTTGGAAACCACCAGTTTAAGTGATTGTCAAAAGAGGGATGGTTAAAAAATTCTTGAAACTGGCCAGTGGGCTACAAGAAGTTATTTATGGCTTAACCTTATGTATTTAATGATCGAAAAAGAATTGTATGTACTTGTCTGACATCATCTCCCACTTTGAAAATGGCCGCTTGCCAATACTCTTTACCACTTTCTTTTTTGGAATTCTCATCTTCTTCTTTTCCAATACTCATCACTTTATTTTCCATTTCATGGATACCACAGTGCCTCACCTTGAATCTTGCTAAATAGGGTGCTTTCGCTGCACTGAAAAAAAAATAATCTACATTAATTTCTTGCATATAAGAAAAAAATTCATTCCATATTTTGTTTGTTATTCAGGAACTGTAACTAATGGTCAGAAAAAATTGCAATTCTTTCAGTAATTTACAACTTCTTTATTAAAAATGTAATTCATCAAAATGTTCTTTAAATGTAATAATGACAGACTACTTCTGAAATATAACTACGTTTAGGAGACTAATTTCGATAGAGGATTCAATTTTTTTTTCTTTTTAAAAATGAAGATTGAAAGAAAAAATTCATAAGAAATGGTTTAGAATAATAAAAGAGCAAATTTATTTCTTTTTCACAATTTTTTCACAATTTTACAATTTTTTTAGTTTTACAATTTTTCTTTTTATGCCTTTGTTGACAGAGAATATTTATTTAAAGAAATGTAAGAAAATAATCAAATAGTTTTTATATCATGTTATTCTTTCATTCATATGTAACGTTTATAAAAAATATATCATATAACTCCCAAAAGAGTTTATGTCATCCAAAAGGAGGATAGGGTACACTTTACCAAACCTATGTAGGTGTAGGGAAAAAATAATGTGAACAAAGCACAAAAAAAGTACAGAAATGAATTTAGGTTCTTTAATAGTTGAGGCAATTATCAAATTTCTTGTTCAGTCATCCTTGTTATTTATAGGACAAATTAAATATATCCTTAAATTTTGAAATTCGCTTTTAAATTAAAAGTGCTATTAATTTCTTTATTTGATTTTTACAAATAAACAATAAACGAATAGTGGATATTTTCTCTACTTGGTAGCTTCTTTCGATACATGCCGTCGACCAGTCACAATTTGAGACATAAGGTAGGCAATATTTAATATTTCTATTCAATTTTTTTCTGATAAAATTATACCAGCACAATGTAACCAACAGTCTTGGAAAGGGAGTTAAATGGAATACAGTTTTAAGTTTTAAAATTTTTGATATATCTTTGCGTAATGAACATTAAAAGTATTTTTTAGCAACAGGCATATCGGATTTGATTAGTTTAAACTGTAATAAAATTAAATTTCAAAAACTGAAAAAGTGTAATTTTAAATGACAGGTCCAAAACCATGAATTGCATATATTTATTGCTTTAAAGTTCTGAGAAAAAATCCATAGAAGTTATAAAAAAATGACCAACACTATTTCTTTTAATCTAATAAAGTGGCCCTTTTATTTTCCTCATTTTTTAAAAAGTTTGAAAAGTGAAACGAACTTAAAGAAAACGCAAAGCAAAAATTTAACCTAACATCCGAGATGACAAGGGTAACAGCAATTTAAGAAACAATTCCTTTGACAGGTTTCACTGTAATAGAATTTTCAAACGTTTTGAATTCAAATAGTTACCTTTGCATGGGTGTTCCAGATTTAAAGTCAATATCCAAGACAACTGCTTCTGGATTAGAAGGTAGATAACAACCGGGTTGAACTTTTATTTTGGCCAGGGCATCCAAACAGGCTTGCTTACGTTGAGGTCCTTTAGGGTAAGGTCTATGGATAAATGCAAAACATAAACATTTTAAAAGTGCCAGTCAAAGGAAGTAGTGCAATAAAAAGCTGAGATTACTGTGAGTACCTTATTTCCCCCGAAATGGCAGTCACTTTACCAAAAAAGTCAAATTCCCTCTCGTAGAACAGTTTCGCAGGACCAGACAGAGAACCAATTATGTGATTCATTATGTTTTCCAAAGGTTCAAACATTACAGCTACAAAAATGGAAGTGGTAATTAATGATTTTTAATTTTATTACAAAAAAAAAACATTTTTTGTTCAATAATTTATACGAGTTTATTTCTGACTCAATCTATAAAATCCTGATCTCAATCTTGAGACATTTCTTAAAAATTCTACTTTTAACCACCAATTTAAAAATAACAGAGTAAGTATAAAAATTTAACAATAACGGGAACATTGAAAAAACATAGTTTTAGTGTATAAACAAAGCCACAGATTTCTATGCCTAATATGAATATTTTTTTTCAATCATTTTCATCGTTAACATTTATTTATCTGTAATTACAGTCATTTAATGTTGTCTGTAATTATCATTACTTATTGTTGTATATAATTATTGACATTTATTGTTGTATATAATCATTGATATTTATCGTAATTGTTAATTATCAATGCTCATCATTGTAAACATATTTTCTAGTCAATATTTATCAATGCATATTATTGTAAATATATTTTTCAGTCGATAATTATCAATGTTTATCATTGAAAATATATTTCAATGACAATAAATTACCAATGTTGATCATTGTAGATATTCATTGTTGTCAGTAATTCTCATTATTGATTATTGTAGATATTTGTCATATTCATGATATTAGGTGAGAATATGTATGTTTTAAACAAAGTTAATAATTTTGACCTTTCTGGATAAATTCTTGTAACACTACAATCTTTCCATGTCATTTTAATGAATAAAACCATTTTCTTTTATTTTAATCAATAGGAAATATGTCAGGGAAGCCACAAAAACTCAGAAAAAAAATCTACAACTTTTCCTTGAGTTTTCTATACTTACCCTGAATTTGTAATTGATGGTATTAATCTGATTTATAATTTTTTGGTTGTCTTATTTAACTTATTTAATAAAACAAACAATTTTAGAAAAATCACTAAAATACCAATTTTATGGCAACTCTAACTCAAATAAATTTACTTTCTTTGACTTCTTGGGTATTAATATAAGAAACATATAGGTAGTAGATAATTCCCTTGCGCTATGTGGTATTACATATTTCCTCATTTTTAAAATTTCTATAGTTTACTAAATTTATATTTTTCAATCATTCTTAATCAGATTTTAATTAAATTAAGCTAACTATTTAACTTTTATTACATTTTATAAAAAGCAAACATAAATATTTTATTCCCTTCTAAACAATCATTGTAATGGCTTTGGATTCAATACAAATATTAAAACTACAATTTACTAAATCTAACATCCAAATCTATTTACAACTCCTTATTCTTTATTTTTCTTAACACAAAAATACTTCAGTTACAGGGTTATGTAAATTCTCACAGTCTTTTAGGCGATGAAGCCAAAACCGGTGAATGATTTCAAAATTTAATATTAATTACGAGGGGTTGGCTTTGTTTTTGGTTATTTCATCATTCTATAAATCGCCAACTATGGATGTCTTCCCATGCTCCTAACTGTTCATTGGGAAAAGTCCCTTTAATTTAAATTGTTTATTCTTGTCGTTAGGATTGGGGGTTACGCTCCTTAGTCTGTCTGATAATTAATTTTACAAAATTCTTGATGTGAGAAGATTGAATGTCTAAATCTCTTAAAGGGAGAATTTTATTTTAATTTTATCATTTTAATAACTATATTGCCATATTGCTCCTAATAATATTTACAAAATAATAAAGCAACATTTTTCCTTAAATGATTTTGTTCGATTCTCTCCAATGAAACATTACTCATTCGTAAGAAACCCAAGTGTATCTGCCAAGGGCGCCGGCAGAATAATATAAAAGGGGGTGCAACCCTCTAACAAACTACTCTCCCTTCTTAAAAAAAGTATTTTGTTACATTTTGCTTTGTTATTACATATACTTCAATCTGTTAATTTTTTAATCTATTTTAATAGAGAAAATTCTTATGAATTCCTCGAATACATAAATTTAGTTATTCAGGCCACACCGTTTTATCCAGCTGTAGAGGGGAGGCAGTCAAAATTTGCCTAACTCTTCCAGCTACTACGTGCACTATTGAACGCACTTTTAGTACAATGCGAAGCATTAAAACATGGAATCGGTTTACAATGTCTCACGAGAGATTAAGTAGTTTGTGCATGCTCAGTGTGCATAAGAAAAGATGACTCAGAATTCATTGAAAAAGTTATAAGCAGATTTGGACAGCTAACAAGACGATAACAATTCTTGTTTGATTATACAATTTTTTAATTGTTATGTATCAATAATTACTTAATTATTTGTTCTTGAATAAAAATATTTTTAATAAAAAAATGTTATAATCGATTTTTTTTCTGTATCTCTTTAATTGTTTAAAAAAAGCCAGGGGGGTGCAAGTGCACCCCCTTGCACCCCGCTGCCGGCGCCCTTGGTATCTGCTACAGCCAAAATATGCAAAAAATACTACAATGAAGAAACCTCCATATAAAAATTGGACTAACCACCTTCACACCCTGTTTTTTTCCAGACTTATAAAATTTCCTGACTTTTCTGTGCTTTTTCTAGACTGATAAAATTGCCTATTCTTTTCCAGATTGATAAAAATTCTTATCATTTACAAGTTTTTTTTTTCAGATAGATAAAATTCCCTGACTTTTCCAGACTGATAAAATTCCCCACATAGCAAATAAATTTCCATGCAATTTTGCCCAAGTGCTCAATGCTTGCAAGAAATAGGAGAAAAAGTCACTAGTAAAGAAATAGGAGAAAAAGTCACTTACGGTCTTGTTGCACAGCCTCTTCATCTAAGTACATGTTTGTTTTCATATTCCAAATTAACTGATGAGCCAGTAGTTGGGAATGTTTGCAAGCACTTTTAATAAATTCTGTCACATAGCCCATCTAATATATAAAAAAGTTATTGCTGTTTTACACATGAAAATAATGAAGTTTTAACTAAACAAATAAATTTTTCTTTTAATAAGAGAAAAAGTTACTTACGATCAAAAAAAAATTTGTGTTAAAAAAATTTTGCCAGCGAAAAAAAAAATTAATAAAAGGAAAAATACAAGGAGCATTTTGAATATCTTTTGATTAGAACAGGCATGCAAAGTTTAATTACATTTAAAAATTATAAGTACAGTAGGGAACCGATTATCCGGAACGATTGGGACCATCGATATTCCGGATAACTGATTTTTCCGGTTTTCTGAATCTCTACAAAAAGCCGTTTTTTTATAGTTAAACCCAACAACAACAAAAAAATTGGAAATAATCTTAAAAAGAAGAAAAAACGATGAAGTAATACACTAATGATTATTTCCAAAATGATGGTAAGGTAAACAGCTTTCAGAAAAGAACGAAGAATCCCAAAACTTATGAGGAAAAAAATTTTTTTTTTTTTTTTAAAAAAGCGGGTAAAATTAATCGAATTTCGTTCCGGTTTTTTGGTTTTCCGGTTTTCTGATTTCCGGATAACGGGTTCTGTACTGTAATAGAAAAATTGTGAATAATGTTAATGCGAATTTAACTATTTCAGCAACTATATAAGTTTCTAAAGAAACTGTAAAGGTGGGTAATACCCAGAAACACATTAGTGAGGGAATAGTTTTGCTTTTTTAAGTATGTACTTTTAGAAGGCAGAATACAAAGTTTAAGCGAAATCGGTCTAATAGTTAATGAGAAATCGAATTTCAAAAAAGTCAGATATTTAAATAAGTAATAATTTATCCCTTTTCATAAAAAAAAAATCACTAAAATATGTATATAAATATTCAATTTTAGAAAACTGACAATAAAGTGGTGTAAAAAACATAGATTAAATATATAACAAAAGTATTGTTAAGAATACTTACACTGTCATGTCTCACTGCTTGAACAAGTTGTGGAATGTAAAATAGTATCACATCCTGCAAACAGAAGAATATTTACATTTGTTATTTGCTCTTTTTTTTTTGGAACTGAAAAGATGCTAAAGTTATAAATGCATTGTATACATTAACAAAAAAAAAGGTGAATAGAAATGAAATATTTTATTTATAAAATAAAACACAATTTTTTTTTAATATTAGCAAAAATAAGTCTAACCAGTTGTAAGAACAAACCAATCCACTTCGCAGTAATTTTTCGGTCCTTTTTTTAATTAACCATTTGCGAAAAAGAAATATCTATTTCTTAATCCTTAGCTGATTTAATTGATTTATATTTATTACAAGCATTCCACTGATCCCATTTACACGATGTATTGCATTTTTGTGCCTAAATAACTTACCTCACCTCAGTTTATCAGAAGTGAACTGCGCAATATTCTTTGCAATTAGTACTAGACTCTGCTAGACACCTAGGCATCTCAACATTACGTGATTTTCCCACTCTCCACACTTTTCCTCCCTCTGTTACAGGTTATTAGCAAATCTTTCTTTTTCTTCATGGCAGTACAATTTAGTTGAAATATACTGGCATGGAAATAAACATGATTTGCCAAAACCATAGTAAGAAAGAGGGGAGAAATGTGGTGAGTTTGAAAATCACACACTGTAATGAGACACCCATTCTATTTACAAAGAGTACAGTAATAAATAAAAGATGGTTGAAGCAACAGAAACTTCAATATTCAAATTTCTTCAGCAAAACAAAAGCAGCAAACCTTACTTACTAACAAAAGGCTTTTTTTAAGATGCATTATATTATACATTTCATAGGCTTATTTATGATACATTTCATGTAGTCTTGCAGTACAAAGAGATATTTTTAATTTTATTCTAAAGCTCTCATTTTAGAGAAATTATAATAGTATATAGTGAAAATTGAGGGGGAAAAACAATATGCAGATGCAAAAAAATCACTTTGAAATTGACTTGAATAACAGATGTATTTGGCAAAAAGAGGATCATACAAATGAGGCACTTTACTATAAGGCAACGATAAACCCCAGAAAAAAAAAATTTCTAACTTTTCAAGACTGATTTAATTGATTTTCCATGCCTTTTATAACTATTGGCAGAAAATTTATCATTAATTTTTAAATTATGCTGAATTTTTAAACAGAAAATGTAGCAAAACATTTACATGAACCATTAAAGTTGAAAATAAACAATTTATTTTTAAGAAAAATAGGACTTTTAGTTGCCTTAAAAAAGGATTATTCATCTTCCTTGAATTGTTTGGTGTTTTAGTTAAATTCACTGATATTTCCCCCCGATTAATAAAATTCCCTGTATCTTCTCTATTCTCCTTGTTCTGGGTCCAACCCTGAAAACAATTAACATATCATTTGTTTAAAAAGTATAAAACAGCATTTGTTTCACTTACAGGGGGGAATGAAGAGAGGACTCGAACCGCATATTGAGCAGTGAGAGGGTGGCGAGGAAACTGCCGTGAAAAATAAGCCAGTGCTTTGATTGGAGGAACTCTAGCCCATGTTAACACATGTGTAAGCTGTAAAGAAATTTGTTGTTTAAATCGATGCGCTTACAAACATATAGCAAATTATTATGACTGTAAATGAATCCTTTACCTCTGACGAATCATTAATGATGCTTTCTGATGTAGTTAAGTACTGTAATGCCTCTGGTATGTACGAGACGCTGGCTGGATTACATTGAACTAATCTTGAAATTTCAGCCACCAAGACTTCTGAATTAGTAAACCTTAAATGAAAGTTTATACATTGTAATTTTTCACAATAACACAACGAAAGAAAAGATGTCAAATATTGTACTAAAAACTTTAACAATATATTACTCTATTTTTCTTTATTAGTACCATAAAGAAAAAGGCAATCCATGTGATGAATTTAAATCTGTGATTTCCTATCCTTCAAATTTAAATAAGTCTAAGAAAACTAATATATTATGCACCTAAACAAAGTATGAATTTCTCTTTACATTGTTTAGTTTATATCTTAAGGTTTATTATTGTATCAAGAGAAACTGGGGATTTAAAGTTGGTCGCTTTTAGAGGGGAAAAAATACAAGCTCGAGAGGCTTCACTGTCAGACATTGACAATGTATTACTAAACATGACTGCCATCTATTTAAGATTGATATCTTTCTAAGCCCCCTTTATGGGCTTATTAAATATTTGTTTTTACTTGCTGCATTTTGTCAAGTTCTCTGCTATTGAAAATAAAAAGAGAGTTTACTGTCTTTTAATAAATAAATTTAAACTGAAAATGCAAAAATCAAATTCTCAACACTTACCGTATATTCCGGCGCATAACGCGCCCCGGCGTATAACGCGCACCCATAATTTCTAATAAATTTTTTTACATTTTAAGATATACTCTTCGTATAACGCGCACGAAAATTTGGATTGTACATGTGCAATATTTCGTCTAGTATCAATAGAAAAAGAGAAAGCCTTTTAGTGTGGGACATGTTTAGGTCCCACCTTACAGATAATACAAAAAAATTGTTGAAAGAATGTAACACCGATATGGCAGTTATTTCGGGCGGATTGACACCATTAGTTCAGCCATTGGACGTCTGCTTAAACAAACCATTTAAAGCCAATTTAAAAAAACAGTGGAACACTTGGATGTTGGAGGGCGAGAAAACCTTTATGAAAGGAGGACATATGCGTCATGGAAGTTTGGAAACAGTGTGCGAATGGATATTAAAAGTATGGGATGAAATTAAGCCTGAGATGGTTAGAAAATCATTCAAAAAATGCAGCATTTCAAATAATCTGGACGGATCAGAAGATGACTGTTTATTTATGGATGAGGGTAACACAAATGATGAAGACAAAACAGAATGTGATGATGTGCCTGAAGAAATAAAGGAAGACGAATATAATGAACTATTTATGTAATAGCGAAAATCAATAAAGTATATAGGTAAAGGTATGTTATTTCTTTAAAATTTATTTTCTATGTTTAAATTTTTTCAATCTATAATTTTTTATATTCGGCGTATACCGCGCACCCGTAAATTCCAATGTTATTTTTTGTATTAAAAGTGCGAGTTATACACCGGAATATATGGTAAATAATATTCAAACAGAAAATACAGCAAGCTTTTACGCTGCTATTGAAAATAAAATAAAAAATGATTAAAAAAAGCTTACTGTTTTTATACTTAAAATGTAAAAAAAGAAGAAAAAATTCAACACATAAAAAATATTCAAACTGAAAATACAGCAAGCTTTTACACAAAACTAGGAAGAAAAACAACAGAAACTGTGGCATAGGTCTGATCTGATAAGTTCGTGAGTTTGGGGCACTTTAAAACAGGAGCTTAGTCTCAAAAACTCACCAGAGGTGAATGAGGTAAACAAAAGATTTCAAGAAAGAAGAAAATGCAAGGATAGGGACAAATAAAGGTGAAAAATAAACCAAGAAAAAATGCAATAAACTAGACTTTAGGGGCAATTGTGACACAAAGTGAAAAGCCCCGAAAGTAGCCAACTCGAATAAACAATTGAACAGTGTGCAAAAACTTGATAACAAGATATCAGTTTATTTACCATTCATATTTAATATAACTTTTTGAACTAAGATTTATAATTAAATGACCTACCACACACTTTTACAGAAACTAATGTAGAAAAAAACTTAGTTCTTACAAGAATCGAGATATTTGATTTTAAAATAGAGTAAATATTAATCTCGATATTGGATTTTAAGAGTGCGAAAATACAAATCGCGATATTGGATTTTAAAGTAGCATGAATATGAATCGCGGTTTAAGAACGCGAAAATACAAATCGCAGTAATGGATTTCTAAATGGGCTGAAAAGGATTTGCAATGAATGACTTTTTAATGAGGTAAATACAAAAATTGATGTTTGACTTTAAAATCGTGTGAATATGAATCACGATATTGGATTTTAAGAACGCAAAAATGTAAATCAAGATTTTGAATTTTAAAATCGCGTAAATATGAATCGCGATATTGAATTTAAGAACGCGAAAATACAACTTGCAATATTGGATTTTTGAATTGCGTAAATAGGAATCACGATGCATAATTTTTAGATCTTGTGAATGCTAACAGTAATATTGGATTTTCAACTCGCGTGAATACGAATCACTACATTGGAATTTAAACTCGCGTGAATAAGAATAGCGATATTGATTTTAAAAACTTGTAAAAACAAGTAAGGTATTGGATTTTTTAATCACGTTAACACGAATCACGATGCACGATTTTTAAATCATGAGAATACGATTTACAATTAGTAATTTTAGAATCAGTAAATACGAAAATCGGCAGATTATAGGTTAGAGACCCCTTGCCACCAGGCTTACCGAGGGAGGTTTTCGTGGTTTTCCACTCCATGTAACGCAAACGCTGATTTGTTCCATCAAAAATTCCTCCACGAAGGCAAATTTCTCCCAATACATGATCCAGGAACTCTCCTTGTAACATATGTATTTTAACTGTATAGAAATAACTGTGACTGTAACTGTGAGGAGATGGATGCATTGATGTTCTGGATTGCTTGGAGGAGGTCGTAGTTCACGTTCAGTACTTGTTCTGTTCTGGCCTAGCATGTTGCTGTCTAATTTATAATGGTTAATAAATATTTTTTTTAATGAAACTTTAAGCTTTTCATTTCATAGAGTAAATAAAGAAACACTCTTGTCTTCTGGATTGGGTTCAAGGGTTCAAAATTGCAAGGCGATGGAGTTGAGCATTGGTAGATTTAAGTTCAAAAGATTGGGTCAGCTGTTCAGCAACAGTTATAAAACTATAAGGATTAGAAAAAAAATATCAAAGTAATAAATGCTTCAATACAAACCTGCAGGGTAAATAAACAGCTAGAGCAGGTGATATTTCCCAGGACAATCGGGCAGTTTCCCTCCACGTTTTCTCGGATATCTGTTGAGACTTCCAAGAAGAGATCATGTCTTCTTCAGGGAAACTATTCTCTTGCAAAGACATAGGGTTGTTCCACGTAATAAGAAACTCAATGTCTACGGCCTGCAAAGAAGTAAAAGAATCTCCAGAAAGTTGCATTGGGATTTTAAATTAATTCAACTTTTAGCAAGCTACATTTTCTACGGGACTAACTTTTTTAGGCTTTGAAGAATCATAGTGAACTAAGAATTAATAATGACCAATAAATAAAAATATTTTAATTGTTACAGCTAGGAAAAAAATGTTCAACAAATTATTAGAATATTTTTAATTAAAATTCCTTGAACTTTTATGTACACTGCCTTTGTGAAAAAATTTTTTTATTTCCAGCAAGTTTCTTTTATTTTCTCATTGACAAATTGAAGGAAGCAAAAAGATACTTTTAAAATGCCATCAAGTTTCATTTGGCAATAACATTGTTATCAATGTTTTTAATACTGCCTTTTTAGTAATAATTTGATAGTAATTACTTTATAACTAGTAATTTGCAAAATTTAAAAAAATGCTTTCGTTTTACTCAATATTAATACTTGTTAACTTAAATATTAATACTTAACCACTAACGTGCAATTTTTTATACTAATTTCCGACTATAATTTTAAAATTACACTTTAAGGGAGGTGTTACCAGAATACCATGTACTAATAATAATAATTTGATTTTTTTTTTGTTTCACAGATTTTTGATATTTGAAAATAAAGTTCAATGTTCATTTTTTTAAGTTAAATGAAAAGTATTAAACTTACAAAGAACACTTATAAAAAATATTAAAAAATATTTCTTTTCAAATAAATAAACTGCAGTCTGGATTTTAAAAATAAGTAAAACTAGTAATGGCTTAAATGTCATTCTTAAAAGCAGTTAGTAAGCTACTTACTAAAAGTCCTAAAATAAGATTTCTTTTCTTAACATAACCTTTGATGAAACTATCAGAGTGATTTTCTCGACGCCCGGACCTTCCCCCTGATGACCGGCGTGATATGGTTGACATGTTACTGCTGAGTGGCATGGTGTTCATCCACCCAGTTGGGGGTGCTCTTGTCTGTGACAAATCAGTGCTGCTTCGTAAATCTGAACTCAGGCTCAATGAAAGATTTTGACTCCCGGACCCATCACTCAAATCTGTAAGTGACATCAATATTATGTGATATATTTGTAAAGGCTAAACTACTCTTGCAGTAGAAAAAAATTTGCAAATTAAAGGAAATTATTTCAGCAAGAATGTAGAATAAATTATTATACTGTGGAAAAGGTCTTTGTTATAGTACAGTTGAATACTAAAATTAATTTTTCCAAAATAAAATGGCAGCATGCTTTTTTTCTATTAGTTTTTTTAAGTTTTTAGATATGATGAAAGACTTAATTTAGAGCCTGCATGTAAATACATATATGTATATATATATTATAATATAATTGCCAGGTACTAATTTCAAATAATAAATTAGTAGATTAAGATTTGCTCAAATTTTGAGTCTGAATATTTATTTGCGAGATTTTGCTTATAATGTTCTTTGGGTGTACACAGTGGACTGTAAAGGAATACATTAAAAATTCATGTCTGATTAAAAATAAAGTATGCAGATTAAAAATAATAAGACANGAGAAACTTCAGAGGGAGGAATGAGGACTTCAATAATTTCGCTCTGCGGAAAATTTAATTCCTCATAAAATATTTTAACTTCAGCAAAAAAAAAATTTCAGCGGAAATTAGCGGGAAAAATGGAAAAATTTGAGAAAAAGCAGAAATCCGCGAATCCGCGGAAGAATCTCATCCCTGTGTAAAGGAATACATTTAAAATTGATGTCTGATTAAAAATAAAGTATGCAGATTAAAAATAATAAGACACTTTTTAGGCAAAAGAAGAAAAGAAAAAATGGTTTCATTAAAAACCGTGAGTGGCCTAACCTCTTAATGTCTAGTGGGTATTTTTAATAAATTACGCAACATTCTGATTTACTCCTAAAAAGTCTCTAAATACTTTAAAAAAACAAAAAAATTCTTCTAATGGTTTAAATAAACAAATAAGTAGCATTGTAACAACAATTAAGGATCTGTTTTAATTTGTAAAGTGATAAAAACGAGTGATTTTCTATGAAGTACAACCCAAGTGTATAAAAATAAAATTTTGCATTTTTATAACAAAGCAGTCAAAACTAAGCTAACATTATTGTCATAATGCTGTTTAAAAGTAATTCTTTTATCATTAAGTAAAAAAACGTGAAAATATTTTTTAAAAAATGAATCATATGAATTTATTAATATACACCACCCTAAATTATTGAAGATAATTTTCTAATTAATATAAAGATACTGAACATTAAATTAATCGTGCAAGAAATTTTCTTAAATATCGAAACCAAGAAGACTTACCACCCATCATGGATGCTTTCAAATATTTTTTATCTGTATATAAATTATTCCAAAACTTTATTAAAATTGTAATATCATCTCTCAATTCAGGACCTTTCTGTGTAGGACACATTGGCGGAGCGCTGCAATGAAAACAATTATAACTATTATTTCATTCAATGTGCAGCAACAATTCTTAAAGGTGTAATAAAAATATTTCTTTTTAAAAATGTTTCTCGTGTTTTCGCTAAATTGTTTTTATTTTTCTAAATGTTTAAACTATTCATTTAGAAGCTCCTGTTTTACATTCCACCAGTAGTTCAGCAGGAAGAAAGTCTTTTTATCCTCTTATGTTATGTACTAAACTTCACTCTACTTTACACTTATAGACTGACCAGAAAAAGCAACTGATTTTTATTGTAAACATATATCACCAGGGATGTCTTAATGGCATAGAGGGCCCCGGAATACAGAAATATTTTGAGCCCCTATAACATGTCCTACTGTTTAAAATCGAGCAACAAAAAATCCACGTGCATAAAATTGATTATTTTTAAGATCTCAATATTTTTGAAAAAATTTGAGATGGTAACCATTTATAATCCTCAATACTTAAAATTTAAATAATTTTGAAAACCATAGAAAATATTTAAAATAATTAAATAGATAAAACGCATGACTAGGCGAAATGAAAAATTTTAATAAGCAATTTTAAGCGAACTTTTATTGTTTTTTTAGCATTGGGGAAGTAGTTTTAGAGACATGAACTAACCTAAGTCTTTCTCACATTAATTTGTTCTACAGAAATATTTTTTTAGGAAAGGAATGATATATACACATTTAAAAATGACATATTTATGCTTATTTATAGTAGGACAGATTCACTTTAGCAATTAAGCTCAAAATTTTTAAAAAAAATAGCCCGGTGGCTGAGTGGTAGCACTTCTTGCTCTTGTGCTACAGGTCCTCGGTTTGCTCCTCGAGCCGGTCAAGGTTGACTCAGCCTTTCATCCCTTTGGTGAGTCGATAAAATGAGTACTTAGCATATATGGGGAGTCAACACTGGGGGTTCCACATTGATTGAATAGGAAAATCTGCTACTGCATCCCAGAGCTCAAGGTCAAGAAAATTGCAATGGGCACAGTAGACTCTGGCCCTCTATGGGCTATTGTGCCACTGAGTTTAGTTTAAAAGCAGTTTTAGAGACACGAACTAACCTAAAACTTTCTCGCATTAATTTTTTCTACAAGGATATTTTTTTAGGAAAGAAATGATACGCAAGCATTAAAAAATTACATATCTATGTTTATTTATAGTAAAACAGTTGCACTTAAATAATTAATATCAAATATTTTTTAAAAAAATATGCGCGCAAAAATTTTATCGAGTCAAATTAAAAGCATTAATATAAAATACAAAAATAAAGTAATTAATAAACAAATTTTCTATAAAAAAAACGTTTGGTTTATATAATATGGCTTAAACCATATTCAATTAAACCAGCCAACTGCATTAAACTAATATACTTAAAATAATGAGACATGAAATAATTTTTTTCGCTTTAATACTTATCTAGTTTATTGATAATATAGTTATATAATATAATTTAATGTATTATAAAAATTATTACACATTCATTTGAATAGATTTAATCAACAGAACATATTTCATTGATTTGATTTATTCCATAGAATATATCTTTTAAAATTTCTAAGGCAATGCATTTCTTCTTCGTTTTGCTTTTAAAATTACTATTTTTCAAAAGTAGGATTCTCAAGGGTCCTCAGAGTGTTAGGAGCCCCCGGGTACTGCCCGGTTATGCCTATGCCTAAAGACGGTACTACCTATCTATCTGGAATTAAAGAGGAGAAAAATTACCATTCACACCAGTTTTCTGATACGAGAGAGGAGTGAAATTAGCCTCAATCATAGTAAAATAAAGAAAAACATTTGGAAGCAGTAAAAATGAAAAATTAAAAACCACCAGAGGGTTAAGAAGAGGGTTCTTTGTAAGATCTAGTGTTATTGTATCCATTTATATGATTACTTTTTATTTAATTATCAATGCCAGTAATGAATGGTTTTTAAAAATATCACAGTCCTATAGAGTATTGGAAAGACAAAGCACTGGATAAAAATATGCATGCCACTAGTAAACATAAATATTTTAATTTATATCAGAAATTTTTTAAACTGCAAATGCAAATTGAATTTTTTTAAATATAATAACATTATTTTTTTTACACACAAGGCTTAGTAAATTCTTTGGAAATTCAAATATATATTTTTAAAAAACCTAAAATTAATGAACTTACCAAAAATGGTCTAATGCAGCCGTGTATATTCTTTCACGAAGAACATTTTTGCACACAGTTCGGGGTAATATGTCGCCTTGCAATAAGGACAAGCCACAAGATAAGAGTCTGCAAAAATACGACATAATTAGACACATCAGACTATTTCGGAAAGCGAATATGATTAGCAGAATTACCTACCTGAACCGGGTACTCATGGAAGCAATATGGCGATGGTTGTAATTCTGACGACCCACCGTCACTGGCAAAGAGTGATGCAAGATGTTTGCAAATATTTCAACTTCATTCATGTTGCAGTACTTGGCAACTTCAAGTCTCTCAGATAAAAACTAAAAATTTATTTCAGTTTGTGAGTCAATTGCTTTATTTTCACCAATCGATTTATTAAAAGAAATCATTAATGTAATTGTGTTAGATACCTTCACCCACAAAGAATGTGGACCAATGAAAGGACCATTTGGCTTCAATTCACAGCCTTCGTGAGCGGCTAAGGGATCCACTTGTTCTGGATCCTCTGCAAAAAGTCCAATTTGACGATCAATGGTCATTTGCCAAGCGGCTGACATCTCCTGAAGAAACTGTTTAAAAAAAACGCAAAGTTAAAAACATAAATATTTTTCAAATTAACTTAGCTTCGTTGATTGCTTAAATGTACAGTAGATCTATGTAATACAATTCTATGGAAGGTGTTTTCTACACTAGTACTGCAAACTCTTTACTGCCTCTGAGTTACTCTTTCCGGTGTATTTTGAAGCCATTTGGTTCACAACATGATGATTGGGTTTTAAGACTATCTTGAATAGTATTTCTTGTTTACATGTATCTATGACCTGATTTATTAGTTGCGTTTAAAACAGAATCATCAATTGAAGACCTGTCTTTTCAGGACTCCAGAATCACCATTTGAAAAAAAAATCTTTATAAAACACTTCTCACCTTGTCAAAAATATACCGGCTTAGAAATTTACACTTAAATGATAATTTGCAAAATGAACTTAATCTTGCTGCTCAAACAATATGCTAACTTTAAAGTATGATGCTACACTTTTGAAACAAGAACAGTAATAAACAAGTAAAAAGAGACCAAAACAGGACTGCCAAATAAGCAAGTACTTTCTGCCGAGTACACCTTTTTTTAACAATACATCTATAAATAACTAAAACAAATTTTCACCTCAAACTCACAGGAATTACTTAATATCATTAATATGTTATGAAATACAGCAGATTTGAGCTAAAAAATTAGATTATTTATTTATTTTAGTAAAAACAAAACTATCTGTTTGAAAATAATGCTTCGTAAAATAAGCGGTTGTATACTTTCTAATGGGAAGTATAGCAGGTCAAAAGCTCGAATTTGTTGTAGTTTATATTTATATCGAAAATACCATCCATAAACCTCCACATAAAACATTAAATTTGCAGGTGTGAAAAATAAAAATTTCATTTAAGTTCCGAAACTGAGCAAGAAAATAAATAGTTGCTAAGGGGTTATAATCTCTATAGCAAACCAGTTATAATGTTTTTTATGTTTTTAGTTTTATCCCCACAATTAAGAAATATTTATGTCTGATTTTGTCTTAAAAAGTCATTTGAATTTGAGAATTATTTTACAACATTTTAATAGTGATTTGTTCTTGACAAATGCATTGTTTAGTTGGTAAGCTTAATGATATGATTTTAAAATTTTTATTTCAGCTATGTACAACAACTTTCAGTGAAAATGCCTTCTTACGACTACACATATAAAACTAAATGATCAAATAACACAGGAAATTGATTCTAGGAGAAGAATAAAACAACATGACAAACTGCTCAGTGAATAAATGAATGAGTAACTCGATAAGTCTGCAAATCAATTAATCAAAATGTCAACAAATAAATAACCATTGAATTTAAGAATATAAAAAACAATAATTTAACTATTCAGTGGATAAACTGATTCGTTCATTCATGAATTTGTTAACATGAAAAATCACTCAATTATTGGTTTGAACGCATGTTAATCTGTTTAATCAATGTCTCATAGAATTAGTTACTTTTAAAACACTGATTAATTAATGAGCTAATTTGTATATTCATTGATTAGCTGATTCATGCATTAAACCTATTGTTGATATGCTCATTTAAAGATTCACTGATTCATAGATTAATTTTTTCTTTGATTTTGGAATTTTTTGATTTCGAGTTTTCAACCACCGATTTGTTTTTTGGCGTTATTTGCGTAATTCGGTTATTTCCTGTTATTTTTGTATTAAGAGTGAGTTCTAAATGAAACTTGCAGCAAATAATCAAAATTAAATGTTAATTTGTTTCATATGAAACCTTCCTAGTTATGGTGAATGTTCCCAGACTTTAAATGGTAACACTGTGTGCGTTCAAATTAAAATTAAATAAAAAATCTCACTTGTAGTTCCATGTCAGATCTGTCAGCTAGAAGCCACTGCCAACATGAAATAGCACACCTCATTGCTTCGTCTGTAAATAATTCCACGGGAGACCAGCAGAGGGCGTGAAGGAGACGACGATCAATCTCTACACGGAAGAAAAAAAGTGATTTAATAAAACTCAACAGTTTCTAACAATAAAAACAGATTAAATGGAGAACATACCTTTTGTGGCAATTAGCAGAGCACACACACGATTCAAGCATTTATCATGGCTTTCAGAATCTGTTCATAAAAGAATATCACATATTATATTAGGACAATTTTGCCGTTTACAAATGTTGAATTTGTAGACTTTGAAAATACATAACTTAGTTAAAAAGAATTTGAGTAGTTCAAATAATTTTTGTGAAAATAAGTCATAGCGTTACTTACACATACTCCAATTTTTAGAATATTTTATAAATTTCAAAATTTTTTACATGTTTCTCAACTCTGCAAATATGAAATTTAAAAATCATAAAATTACTCATTGCATTATTGTTGCTTAAAAAACATATCGACATTATATTATTTTAAAAAAATCACATGATGAGCTTTGGGCAATATAATGATAAGCCCCATTTTGAAATTGTTTGTCCGTTTTTTTTAGAAGTAAAATGACCTTTTTATCACTAAAGACTGTCTTTTTTCTTGTTGCCTCTTTTTCTTAAAAAAAAGAAAGAAATAGAGCCCCTTTTAAACGCCCTGCTTTTTACAGATCTAGATTGAATTCTGCTATAATAGGGTGCATAGCCAAAATAAGCACCTTTCAAGTACTTTTTAAGGACTCTAAAAACATTCTTAAGCACTACATACAGTAACAAAATGCAAAATAATTTTCCAAAGAATGCATGATCATGATAAAATAACTAGCTTCTGACAAAGAACTCTTTTCTTGATTACATTAGCCACCATAAAGAGATTGAGAGAATTTTTGGTTCAATTTCAGAGGGTGGAAAACGAAGCCTGAAATTGTAAAATACAGCAGAGTTGTACATGACAGTGCAAGAATTTCACTGAACCCAGCTTAGTAGATGCACATGCGGACTCGCAAGTATTTTATCAAACATGTAAAATGATTGGTGCCTTCATACACTACGAACCAACGGTATGCTGAAATGGATTGTGGTCAGATGAATTGTGAAAACGTTGAATAGAACAATGTGAAAAACGGTGCTTCTGCATAACACATGGTGAAAATTAACATGATAAAGAAAACAAAAATATCATTGTCAAAAATAAAAAATTAAGCACTTTTTAAAAACATGCAAAGAATAAGGTTTTTTAAAAAATGAAAATCAAAAATAATCACTTTTTATAAATGCTAAGTACCATGCAAGAATAAAAACTAAATATTTCACTGTAAATACCTTTGTTTTCCCATGTTTTGGCCAAATCACTCAAGAGTTTATTGGTTATGCCCTCTACAAACTCTGTCGAACCATCCCCAGCAGATAATAATCCTACAATCTAAAAAGTAACAGTTTTATTATTAACACTAGGATTTAATATATATATTTTTAATTATATAATGTATTTATAATGACTTAAAAGAATAATTTAAAGAGATATTTACAATCTTTGCTTGCAATATGATAAATATTCCTTGCTATTGTCTTGTTTCATTGATAGTTATTAATTTTTCAAATATATAGTCGAAAAAGAAAGCAAACCTTTGTTTCATGAAGAAATTAAAAAATGAAACATAAAAAAAGAGATTTAAAAAACAAATAAGAAGGTAACAAATTGATAGTGAACCAACATATAGAGATTTATATATGTGTCACATGTAAAGCATGCTATTATAAAATGTTATCTAAAATTGCCAATTAAGTGAAACATAAGAGATGTTTGATCTAGTACATGCGAAACATGTATTGTCTAAATAAGAATTATACTGAATATTTAATATTTGAATTGTAAAAAATAAAAGATGACAACCCACCTGTCCAGCAAAATGGCATCTTATATGTAGTGATGCGACAGATTCAGAGTAGTTGTTTTTGACACAAGGAGGCCATTTATCAAGTGTTGTATTCTACATTAAGATAATAAAACAGAAAGTATCAATACACGGATACTTTTCATTCACAATCAATACATTTTCATTTAACATTGAGTAGATAACCTACTGATAAGGGTGCAGAGACTGCATTGGGGCCAGAGAAGTTAAGCACACTCTCTACGGCCATTGCTAAACCACTATGATGTTTTAAACCTTCATTGGCATGTTGACAAACAGAAAGATATCCCTGCAAGATAATACATTAATAATTAACCATAAGCATAGCTGGTTAAAGTCTGATTCTTTCTTTTAAAGCATAATCACTTAACCCTCTCTGATAATATACATTATACTCTCGATATCTCGAACTTTAATGCCTTGAAAACCTTGTTATGTTGTAAAAACATTTTTTCCTCTGGACATTATATATCTACCTAATGATAATTTGAATTTCTATATCGAAGGGTTTCTTCTCAAAACCTTGTTATGTCAAAAAAATTTCGAAATAGAAAATGAAATTCTTTTGGAAAAATCAGAAAGTTTATCTTTCTAGAATCTTTCGGAAGTTTATTGTAAGCCAATAATTTTCAATTCAAAGCATAATTATTTTTGTCTTACTTTTAAAACTAAAGTAATAATTGTTGTATTTAGACATATAGTCAGCTATCATTACATACATATTTATCAGAATTTATTCTCATGTTTTATGATTCTATTTTTAAAGTAATATTTTAGAGTATATTTTTCTACTTTTTAGAACATACTTAGTTCCAAAGTTTGTTAGTTATCTCCAGTTAAGTTAGCTATATCTAAGTTTAGTTAGCCATCTCTAAGTTTAATTAGCTATATCCAAAACTCTCCATCTCGAAAGTTTTTTAGCGTCCCTTCAACTGTGAGATATCAAGAGTATACTGTATAATGAATATTACATAAAATTAAGAAAGATATTAATCAGCATGGAAAAATCAGAATTTTAAAATTACAAACATTTCTTTGTAAGGAAAAATATTATCTGGCACTGGAGTGACGGCATTTTTTATAGCAACTTTTTCAATGAAAATAAAATGTATGCAACTTTTAATTGTAAATAAAAATATTTTAAAACTGTAAATACAGCCAGTTTATACAGTACAAAAACTAAATTGTACTTAGACAAGAATACATTTTACTGAATAAAAATATTAGAAAACAAAACTTCAGTAAAGAAATTTCTTTATATATAATACACATAAAGAAATCACAAATAATTTTTAGTAGGAAAATTCAATAAACATAAACTCATACCACTAAATGAGATCGTGTAACAGTGGGTGCCCACTTAACAGCTTCTTGTAAAATACCCTGACTTCGGGCAGCAAAATCATTGACAATATTCTGTAACAGATAAAATTTCAACTAAGTCACATCACAAATTATAAATTTTACACATGAAACTGTTAAGTATAAATCCCAGCATTATTTTAAAATTGAATATAAAATTTAGTTTCAACATGAAGTTTATTATTTTTTTATAATAATAATGATCTTATTGTTGGCAGGAAAAAAAATGACAATGTTTACCTCTCTTATTTCCAAAGTATCAGTCAAAGTCAACTTATGAGATGTTCTAGGAACAGTCAACTCAGGATTATCCTCATTTGAATCCTTCACAAAAATAAGGACAACGTGAATGAATTCACATATAAACCAGTTAATACTAGTACAAAAATTATTATTTCTTGCTCATTTACTTTTTTAAAACATTTTTCCTTTTAACAATACACTGAATAATTTTAAAATAACAAGTTAAGTACATATGACCACATAATCTAAAGTGTTCAATTAAGTGAAGAAATAAGGTAGACTATCCGTATTAAATAAAGCAGTTAATACTAGTACAAAAATTATTATTTCTTGCCCATTTACTTTTTTAAAACATTTTTACTTTTAACAATACACTGAATAATTATAAAATAACAAGTTAAGTATATATGACCACATAATCTAAAGTGTTCAATTAAATGAAGAAATAAGGTAGACTAAACCGTATTAAATATATTTTGTTAGAACACATTAATGAAGAAAAAAAATTAAAGAATATATAAATAACAATTTTTTGCTAATTTTTAAAAGTATACAATGCATACAAATTAAATCATTTTATGTTATTAGAAAACTGTTTATTATTTTCTATCAATGGATAAACATTTAAAACAAAATTCCCATTATATTATATACATTAAATTCATCATTAACTTCCTTTTTCAGGTTTAACTTATTTAACACAACAAGTTTTATACTGCTTCAATATGAAAAGCGGCTCTAAACTAATTGAATATTTTCTTCTATCAGATGTAACTTTTGATTTAAAAAACAATTTATCTTTCACAATTGTTTTACTTAAACAAGATCAGTGCTATAAACAAAATCATGTACCTAATAGTAGTCCTGTTTATGAAAAAGAGAAGCCATTTAAAGAGGGTTTTAAACATTTTAAAAACATTGTTTGAACTTCAGGAATAATATTAGAGATTGATTAGAAGTTCACAAACAACTGTATCTTATTGCTAACAAAATCAATATACTCTCAATTTTTTCAACAGTCAAAAAATTACATACCCATTTTAAGGATAAAGATAAAATATGCAAGATATCGAGCATTGTCCACAATACGCGGCCACTCCATAATAAGTGAGGAAATCTAATAAATTGAAGAAAAAAATAAACATTTTGTAAAGCATTCTTAATTAGAAACAGTGGATATTTGAGAACTATGCATTACCTATCAACAAGCATGGAAAGATGACGATCAGCTACACGCCTGATTTGTTTTTGTGGATGATTAAATTTGACTAAAAGAAACGTTGCATGCTCTTCCAACTCATCATCACGATGTTCATTACGTGACTAAAAACAAAAGAAAGAAGAATCCTCCAGATATAACACACAAAAGAAAAAAATCAATAACATATATCACTAAAAAAGAAAAATCATTTACATATAACACAGAATAGAAGAAAAGTTATTTTCTTATAATACCCAAAAGAAAGAAAAATCATTCATTTATAACACAGAGAAGAAAAATATCCTTATGAGTAATATAAAATAAATTTACTGTTAAAAAAACCTTAAATTATAAATGATCAGATATAGTTTGACTGTAATTTCAAAATCACTGCCCAAAAATATTGGCATTGATTTTAATTATTTTTCAAAGTTAAGTGGTAGTTTATTAGGTGGTTTTGTTAAATTGAAAACATTTTTGTCACCCAAAAATCAAACTTTTTCTATAAATTGACACTTAAAAAAAACTATACAGCATATTCTCTTTAGCATGAATGTATAACTTTTAATAAAAGTGCAAGATAATAGGTAAAAAATAAATAATAGAAAATCAAATTTGTTTTTTCCTTTTCTTTCTTTGCATGTTGTTCAAACAAGGAATATTTTCTTTTTATCATATCGATGAGATGCATTAGAACAATTTGTTTGCAATTTTAATTCGAGGTAGAATTAAAATCATGAAGAGAAATTTTTTTATATCAGTTTTAAATTAAAATCAAGATGCATGAATTTGAGTATCATTATAATATTGCATTAATAAAATATCAACTTGAAGACTATGTAGATATTCCTATTAACAGCTCCTGAAAAAGCAAACGACAAAAACAAAACAGAAACCATTGTGAATCAAGCTTGCAAATCACACGGATTTATATAGAAATCAATTCTTACTTATGTATGATTTGAAATTCATGTGCTGCAATAGCAATGCAATTAAAAATATCAGGATTCTGAAACATATGCAGTAATGTGGCGTAATAACAGTAAACCAAGTGGCAAAACTATGTGGATTTACAATTTAATCGTCATAAATGAGTACATCAAAAAAAGAAAGAAAGTAAGATTACTAGGTAGTACCACTTAATATTCATGGGATGTAACATTGCTTTATAATGTCAAGATTTTAAAAAACTAAACAAATATTCATATAATTACAAAAAAAAAAAAAAAAAAAAAAAAAAAAAAAAAAAAAAAAACAAGAGTAAGATCATATAGGTTTACAATAGAAATTCACATATTTTAAAATAATTTTGAGTTCAAAACTTTGATTCTTCTACTCGATTAAATAGAACATCTACAGTAAGTAATTTTTCAAAATCCGAATTCTACAAACTCCCGAGCAGTCTAGATTATCAAGAATGAACAGCAGTAAACTTATATAATGTGAGTGATGCATGACATTAAATGTCAAGGAAAGTAAATAGGGTATAGAAGTTTATTTCACACTTTCAACAATTATATACAATAATTCTACAAATTTAAATAAAATTTTCTTATTCTGCTTTCAATTGTAACTCTGGGAAGTCACATAAGCTGAATAAAATATTCAATGGTACCTTTGCTGACATGACCTCCAAGTATGTTTGAAATACTTTATCAGACACAGCTAAAATGCATTGCCACATTCCAGCCTTGTCTTTCTGAATGGTAGTATCTTCGAGATACTGAATCATGCAGTGGAAAGGAGTCTTCTCTTGAACATGACGAACCCTATTAAAAAGAACACATTATTATTTCTGATATTTAATTAGCGTATAAGGTGAGCCCATTTAAAAAAAACGGCTATCCAGTGAATAACTGCTGATTTCATTTTCTTATTTTTGATTTTCACACACTAAGATGCAATCATAACACTTTCTATGAATGTCAGCAACAACCATTTAAGTACTTACTATGTTTTAATTTGCCTCTGTTGGCAACAGAACTATTCATTGATTGATTGTTCAATTGATTGCATTCACCTGCCTGTAAATTAGTTGAATAGTTTGGAACTTTTGAAATATCAATTTGCATTTTTAGATTGAATTGTGCATTTATTAAATTGAAAAAGTATTAGAGTCATAATTTACAAATCATTTGTCATAACCCAGATATTTTCAGATATAAAAATACATATTCATAAAAAGATGTATGTTCAATTAGAAAAAATAATTTTTTAAATCAGAATTTCTCTTAAAACTAAATTTATAGGGTGAAATGGAAATCTAACTGCTTAAAACACTTTTTTTTTTAATGAAACAATAAAGCAATTAGCAATCTGAAGATAATTGCAGGATGCAAAAGTAAAATAGCATCGGTTCAACGTTAAACCAGTTTCCACTTTAAAAAAAATCTTAGTTACTTAACAACTGTCAATTTAGCAGAATATAGTCATCACTTTATGAACAATCATGGGACAAAAACACTATTTTGTTTTAAGATATAACGCCTATTTTTAATTTTATTACAAATAAATTTTATATTTTATTTGGCATTTTTATTATTCACAGCTGGGGCCGGGATAGCATGGTCTGCAGGGTGCTGGATTCACGTTCGTGAGAACGAGAGTTCGAATCCAGCCAACCGAAGACTCCCTGTGTAGTAAATGGTAACTAGTGCACGCTAAATCTGCCGGGTCAAAAATTCTCCATGCTCTATAACAAATTATACTTCTGGGGGTAAATTTGATCATTCTCTGGTTCAGGTCAAAATTACAATCTGTGGATGAATGAATGGATGTATGAATGAGTCCTCCCCATAAGCGGGTGTGACGTATTAATGTGGAGTGGAAGTCGAATACTTGGCCAATAGATGGCGCCACTGGAAAACAAGAACAATCGCATCCCTTGCCTTAATAGCCTACGACAACAACAAAACCTAACCTAACCTAAACCTAAAACCATAAACCTAAATTCCTCTTTTAGACTGAAATCTTCCTTTTTCCACTGTGTGTTTAAATCTTATTAAATCTATTTGACTAAAAAAATAAAAAAATCGCGTTAACTGCTATGCAATAAAAAGATCAACGCAAGTAACAAAAAATTAACAAATGGGATTTTTAAATTTATATGCTTGGTATTTTTGCATGATAAACTACATATTGCAAAAAAAAAATAATAAATAAATAAATATTTCAGAAATAAATAATTCTTTTTAAAATAAATTCTATTTTAACATTCATAGCGTTGGCGATAGAAAGATAATAAAGTCAAGCCACTTTTCACAAAATTTATAGTGAATCGCTGGTGTTATATTTTTCAATTGCACACAGTAGTTTACACAGAAATAACTCTTCTAATATTGTATACTCAGTAATTAAATTTAATTAGTAAGAACTCTACTTATTGAACTAAAACACATAACTTTTCCAATATTATTTATTCTGTAATAACATTTAATACATAATAATTTTAATAAGTAATAACTTATTAGTAATAACTCATTAATAACTTTCTAATTTATTTATTAATTAATTTACATATTAATAACTTTACTAGTATCGTCTAATTTAAAATAAATTACCTAAGAGTCTCCAAGTGATAAACAGACAGTAAGTAGGTGCATTGTGCAAAATTCAATTTGTTAATCAAAGGAGTCACATCAGCTTGGTGGTCGAGTAAAGCCAAGATTTGATTCCTCAATTCTTGCAACTCAGCCTGTTTAAAAAAATAATATTAATGGAATACAAACACCTACAACTCAGACATTATTTAGTGCCATAATTAGAGCAAGATATTGATAACCTAAAAATTCTTAAGAAATTTCCTTTAATTCCCCCAAAAGACCCTAAAAATATAAAAGATTCTATTAAAAGGAAAAATATTGTGTTTAAAAATTATTAAAATCATATTTTATATTAGTTTTTTTAGAAAACAAATTCTAAATGCTAACTTGGTATTTATAAACATATAATTCATGAATAAAATAAAATTAAAATAAATAACTGATAAAATTAAGTATGAATTTATTAATTTTTAATTAAAATTTTCAAGAAGATCAGAATTGCATTGTGTTATAAAAGGAATTTTAATATTCTTCAAATTGTAAGATGACTGTGATTCAACATTAACACTTATTATTGGAGATTATTTAAAGTAGCATGATTCAATTCAAAATTTATTCTAATTAATAGAGATATAAAAATTAACTCACAAGCAAAATACACTCGGAAAAAATCAAATATTATATAAAAAATTCTTATTAATATTATTATTAATAATATTATCATTAATAAAAAATTATTAAAAAAGAAAAAAAACTTTAAAAAAACGAGAATAATGACTTATAAAAAAAATAACAAATAAGTAAAAATTCATTTATCATCAACATCCTGGCCCTGGTCATAATGTTAATAGAATATAGCTCAAAATAAACAAATAAAAAACCTTAAAAAATACGCTAAAAATTGTATAATAAAATGTAATCATAAATAGATTAAATTTATACAAGGTTTAGTGTATTTTACAATTGTAATTATAGATGGTACGTTTATTGAATTATATAGAGCCAGATAGCACTTAACTTTAAAAAAAATTTTATAATCTAATAAATAAAACCACATATAAAAAATTATAAAATCTTAATAAATCAAATAATAAAAATAAAAAGTATTATAGATCCCTCTCTCATTTCAATAATTTCATTATCAAAGGGTATGTTTGATCGAGAAGTTATTACGCTGTAACTACAGATGAGCTAACAACCAGAAAAGCATGTTTCAGTACTTATCTGTGAAACTTTATTTTCAAAGAATATAACAAATTTATCAATGACACTTTTTTGTTTGAAAATTGTAGTCCCTCATTTTGTGAAAAGTGTCTTTTGTGGTTTATTGAGTTAAACTGTTGCCTTCACAGTTCTCTCGACTTATATTATTTAACAAAAATGGTATCCCTGAACAAGCATCTTTTTTTAAAGCATTTTCCACATATGAAGCATTATTTTAGAGGATAGTCGTATGTATATGTCAATATAGAAAAAAGTTACGCTGTTGCCAGTTTTTCTGTTACTTAAAATGTTTTTTAAGTAAAGCATCACTTTTTTAAAATCGATGTAATTTTTTTTAGCTATGAGTTAATATTTGCAGCATTTCGTGCTTGCAGAATGCAATGACCACAAGGGTCACTACATTTTTTCTTACAGTGAAGAAAATGCCTTACCACTGAAACAGTATCACTTCTTATAGCGGAATTGTACTGAAGTTCAGATCTCAAGTGCTCCCTGGATACCAAGAGTGGAGATTTAGCAGCTATTTCTTTTAGTTGCTCAAACCATTCTTGAGGCCATAGACCTTCACAAAAAACAGTTTTAAGTAATTAAAAAATTAATTAAATAAAGTTACAAAAATTTAAAACAATGATGTGATCAATACAAACGAGTAGTTAAGAGAAACATGCCTATGAAGTCAAAATTGAAGAAAAGTATTCCGGAGTCAGACTCTGACTCCAGTTAGATTAAATTTAGGCCCTGTATGCTAAAAATAAAAATCAAAGTTTTTGAGCTTTCTCATGAAGAATATACATACAAATGCTTATAATTAATAAAAAATATGACTCAAATAAATATTGTAACAACAATTTAAGCTATAATCTATCACAAATTTATTGAATCATATTTGAGCATTTTTAAGCCTAAGAAACCATTGAAAAATCGATATTAATAAATTAATACACTCCATTGTTTATTCATTTGCTGGTATAAGACTATTCTGGTGTCTAAGCTTTCAAAATGTTTCTCAAACTGATAAATAAAAATACCTGTTTCAGATGTGAAACCCATGACGACACAGTACAACCAAAAGTCACGGGACAATTTCAATAGCCTAGGTTTTGGACTGGAAATGGGTGGTAAACGTCGAAGGAGCTAGAAAAATTTAGAGATACAAAAATCAGCAAATATTTTAAATTTTTCGAAAGGTTTATAAAAATTATTAAAAATAGAAATAAGACAAAACAAAATTTCTCTATATTGAAGCTTTGTTTTCTTCTTTTTAAACACTCAAAGAAAATAAATTTAAATATTTAAAAAAAAAATTACAAGCAATGTAGCTATTCATTTACTTTAGTCATAGTTTCCAGCCCAATAATTACATAATAATTCGGCCACAATGCATAATTTTATTAAAGATATTAATAAATGCAAAAATTTAAAAATATAATTAACACATTGATAGCCACATTAGTCACTGGTGATTGATGCTGGGCTTTTTGTTTTGGCTGTGTCATTCAGCAATAACTGACAAAGCAAAATATGGTATCAAACTTAAAACTAAAACATTTTCAGTATTTTAAGTAATTACTGAAAATGTATTTCAAATTTACTTAATTTTTATTTATTACAAATCAAACATTCATTTATTTCAAATTATTAGTAACCTGCTTCCTATACCACAATACGAGCATTTCTGAGTAGTGCATGTGGACCGAGGGGCATTCCATTACAAATATGTGCGCTCAACATGCTAACTAGTATTATTTTTTCACCTTCTATTTTTGAAAACAATTATTCATTTTAAGTACTTATGCATTAATGTAAATGTACTCCATAATAAAGATTTGCAATGGATACTGAAAAATAATAGGTCATACTTCTTCCCTAAAACTGATGTTTCAAATTTGGGGTGATTAGTTAATACATTTCAAAATTAAAAATAAAAACAGTTGGATGATTCAAAAAAAATTTCATGACAGACGCAGTTATTAATTTATAAAACAATTGACTAATAACTCTGGCACTTCCCCGCTTGACTGTAAAAGTGATGGAAAAAACTTTTAAAGACATATTACTTCTATCGCTTTTCAATTTGAATGACATTACTTCTTTTGTTGGACATGTTTGTGTTCTGTCCAGCAAATGTTTTAGTTTGGGAAACAATAAAAATCTGCAGGTGCAATAACTGGAGAATATGAAGGATTATTGATTTTTGCCATCTTTATGTCAGATAAAAAAGTCTTCACTAGAAATGCAATCTAAAGCCAAGCATTGGGGAACAAAAAAAAAGGCAAATCCTTTCTGTTGAAGAGGAAAGGCTTCAAAATGAGATAGAGATTGTTTCTTTATGAGAAATTCAGATTGTTCTCTCATTGAGAATTGTTTATCAAAGTTGGACTTGAATTTCTGAGACAGATGGAAAAAAAAATCCCACTGAGTAAGACCTGATTTTACACAGAATATAACGTCTGGCTTCATTTGTACCACAATGGCTCCCACATTGCTTTGTTCATAAAGCATGTTTTTACAAACGAATAATAGTCTCACAACTTTGTACACACAAGCTTCTAATTTTTTTCTGAAAAAATTGCTTGAGGGAACAAAGTTTGAAACCAATGATAAAACAAGAAAATGACTATGAACTTGACAAGAAAATGACAACAGTTCTTTCTGAAACTTTTACAGCCGAGCCCAGAAGACAATAATTTTAAAAGGAATTTCACTTTACAGGAAAACCTAAATTAAAGTACTAAAGAAAGTGATTAGTGTATTAATGAAAAAATAATGTAAGCGGTAGAGTAAAAAATAAGATATTATAAGAGAATAAGAAAGATTAGAAAGAGAGAATAAAAAAAAAGGTTATTCAAAACCCGAAGCACCTTAAATAAACATAGCTCAAGCACCTTACTATTGCTATGAAGTAAAGATTACCAGTGGTATAGTGATAAAAAAATTTCTACAAGAACACAATATGCTATATACAATTAATTTTGGAACTTTCACCCATATTTTCATTATACGTAAAGGCTTTTTCTTAGAAATAATACTTTTAATTATCCCCAGAGAAATTTTTTTGCTATATTTGGTGACTCATCACACCATAATTTGATGGGAAATGCATATCTAGATAGTAATTTAACTTTAAAAAAATTGTGGACTTAATATTTTTTTTTTAAATTTCAGAAATTTTTATATTCAATTTTTTAAGCTTATGCACACAGCATATCAGAAATTTGCGATCTTATCACCAAAAATAGGGGATTGACTTATACATTAGAGTACACAGGTCATATATTTAAAAATAGAAGTACAAGGTTATATAAAAAGCTACTTTCCTCACAATTGACTAATAATCCTAATTGAGCACAAGTGTTTTTAAACTTACTTAATACATTAGTAAAGTTTGCTTGCAGATTAGTAGTATTAAATGAAACTTACACTAAAACCTTTTTTTTCAATAAAAGAAGTTAAGATTATTAATTGAAAATCAGTAATGTAATTGCTAAAGTTCTGAAACCATGTTCCACCTTACTAAAAAGTACCAGAATATCATTCTTGCCTCATAACAACTCTAAAAATTACTACATAAAATGGGTTTGTAATATTCACATAAAAGTTTTCCTATCAATCCTAGAAATTAGTAATTGCAATCTAAACACAAAATGAACAACATGAATAGGATCAGTAGTAATGGAATTTTCAACTTACAACAGATATTACTGGAATAAGTACACCTAAGTTTCCAGCACTGCTTGATGCCTGTAAAAAATATAACAGTTATTCATTAAAGGAAATAAGAGTACATGTTAAATTTATGATATATTTATCAATAAAACCTACCTTGAAAGCAGCAGGTGCTCGCTCACTGGCTCTCTTTCCTTCTAAGCCCAGCTGAACAAAGAGTTCGAGCAAGCGCACAAGTAGCTCATTCTGTTCAGCCTCCCCTTCTAGATCAGCTGCTATATTAGCCAATGCATTAATCACTGACAATGATACATGCCTATTAATGAAAAGTTTACTTCTTTCTAACTAACAATAAATAATTTGACATATTCAAAATGAACTAATGCAAATAGAGAAACATTTGAGGAAGGATCTCATGAGTTTCTCCATTTATTTAAATGTGCTCTAGAGAGATTCAATTAAAGCAACCCCAAGTATTAGCTTTACGCGCAAGACTGGTAATTATTCGGGACATTTGAGTAACTCAGTTCCTTCTAAGATGCCCTATAAAAAGCTTAAAACAACTTAAATCAAGCTACTTTTCGGATAAATAATCATGACTATGCCAATGAACTTTTTTAACTGATCATTTATTTATGGAATACTACACTTGTTTGAAATATCGATGTAGGTAAAATTATAACGTAACCAAACTTTAAATATGTATCTAGAAGTTCTTTCTCTTCTTTATTAATAGCTGAAGGCGAAGATTAGAATAATTCAGAATACCATCATTACTTATCCTTGATGCGCATGTTTGATTATTTTATTTAAATGTTCAAATACAACTCTTTTCTTGTGTTCGAATTCTTTACTTTATCTATGAACTGATAAAATAATTGTTAATGCACATATTAATAGATGAATAAAGAGGTAGGAATATATATTTTAAGTAGTGACACACTTTTTTTTAAAAAAGCACCCAGATATTCAGAAGTCCTGGGTCCTAAGAACCCACAAAATCACTGTAATCACACTAACCTGTAGCCCTGCTTCCTACTATCAACGCTTCCAACATTATAGGCAGAACTTGATTCTACAGTGATCATGGTGAACATTTTCATCACTTCTTCATGAACGTGAAGCTGAAAATATGTTAACTTTTTAACTGTCAAGTTATTTTGATAATTTGGGTACATAAATTGTCAATTTCTCTATTGCAAAAATCAAATATTCAGCACAAAATAAAATATACTTAGTAACTAAAAATAGATATTTTGAATTTCATGCACAAAAATTTTAAGGCTTTGTAGCCATTGCATATTTGCTTCAGGCAGTTGCCCCTCAGCGTGGCAGTGGTAAAGTTCGCTTATATTATAGCATTATTTTCTAAAAATTAAAAAAAAATAATTTCACTACATTCTGAAAAAAAATTATCTATATAACGTTTCAAAGAACTGGATGCCGTTCTGAAACAAAAACTTTTGTGCACTTTGAACATAAACCCCTATCCTTTGAAACCTTTTAAAGTAAAGTGCTCTCATCCACTGTTCTAAATTGCGTCTAAATTAACTTTTCCGGAGATAGATTTGGTTTTGACAAAGACATGAAGACTAAATAAATTTCTTCCGGTGTATATTCAGGTATATCAATACGATGCATTTAAAAAAAGTTACCCTGAGTAATACTCGGGCATTAAAAGGTTACAGATTTTAAAAAATAAAAAGCATTGTGGGCTAAAGAGAGAATAAATGACTGAAACAAAACTTACGTCTCCTTTGGCTATGACCATGCAGCCTAGCTGATCCACAATGAGAGAGTCTAACCTAGAAGGTGGCTGACAAAACCTCTGCTGGAAGAACTGCAGAATGGATTCCATGGTGCGAGGAGTGCTTTTCAATGCCACGGCTACGTGTCCAAGAGCAACAATTGTGTTGGTTGACACCAGCGTGGACTCCCTGCAAATTTTCACACAAACTTTTACTAACAGATCACCACAAAGGAAATGATTAAGCAGACATGGATAATATACTCAAACGTGTGAACACCGTTCAAGGAAAATTTGCTAGTATTTACTCATTATTAAAATAAGAAGAAAAAAAAAAGCTTTAAAATATAATGATGTTATATGCATGTATGCATCACTTTTTACTTAAAATGGTAATATCAATATGTAATTTATCTGTAATATTTGTCAGTGATAAGACATGGTGAAACAATTTAGTTTTAATTCTCTTTATTTTCATACTATTGTATATTGTAAAATAAGTAGCGCAAGAGAACAAGATTAATTAATGTAGAAAATTTTAAAAATGATTCTTATAAAAATATCTATTACATGTTTGCATTGAAATGCCTCTGAGTGAACATTTATCAAAAAGAAAGTCAAGCAAAAGGATAAGTAAGGTAAATCCAAAACTAGTTTTACATTTATCTATTCCTAAAACTGCTATCTTTAAAAAAAATGTAAGCTGATATGTATAATAATCAATACAGTCTTTTAAAATGAAAACATTTTTTAAAAGTGATTCTTGAACAAATGCTGTCAAAAGTAAGTAACGATTAAAGTGTTTAAACTAGTTACAAAAGTTAATAAATTGCCAGAGGATAGTTTTTTAATTGAGAATTTATGTTGCAAAAAGTGTTCCATTTTATCTAAGTCCGAAATTAAGTAAGACAGGAAGTAAAACTATGAAGGGTTGCCCAAGCAGCAGAGATAGAGATTTAAACAGCAGAGATAGTAGAGCCAACATTCAGGATTATAGAACAGGGTAGGAGGAGTGCAGCACAGTTTGAATATAATTAACTAGCTGAATACTTGTGCTTTGTACAGGGTGAAAAAGTAAAAAATCAATTAATCTGTTTTGATCAACAAACTCACTGCACAAAACAGAAAAACATCTACTGACACAATAAACAGAGCTTTAGCAATTCATTATATTTTATTTATAACTATTTTTTGCTCTTCTCAGTGGTTTTACATTACAAGATTAAGCAAAACACGCCATAATGCTGTTGATTGAGGTCAACTCATAATAGTAAAAATTTTCTCTGGTACTTATTCTTTTCACGAGTCTCTAAAATGCCAATTACCACAGTACCTAAAATAGGTAATTTGGTATGCCTTGAAACGAAACCAATAACTATACAGCCAGTATTACCTATAATCAAAATTATTAAAACACTATAGATATGAGTAATAGTATCCAGTTCGCACGAGATCAATTAAAGATGAGTACATTCAGAGCAGAACAGAATTTAGAAGTATGACCTTTAGTGGCAAAAGAAAAGAGCAATTATCATGCGGTGGTAGCTGCTTATTACAAGAACTGTCTAGGACAAATGGTGTAGAGATTATCCTGAATGGTGGACACCACCATACCAATACAAATAATTGGCACAATTATCGTTATTTGAATCAAAGTAGGCATCAAAGTTGATCATCCATCAAAGAAGACTGCATCAAATCAAAGTTAGCAACAATTACAAATATAGGGAACTTTTTATACATTTATTTAATTTTAAAAACAACAACTTCTCTTTTTTTCCTAATAAAAATACAGGGCAGATTAACACAAGGCAGCATTAAAAGAAACAAGAATTCGGTCGAATGAAGACGTAAAAAGGAAAAGCAGCGCAGATTATGAAAGAGCTCACAGAAGAAGATTTCTAATAATGTTTCAAACAATGAAAAATTCGCATGGAGGGATAGAGCAGGGATATATATTGAAAGTGATACTAAATAAAAATGTTTAATTTCAAAATATATTGTTTTAAGGCACTCTCATTATTTAATAGAAAAAATTTGCAAGTAGTCCATACTCGACATAATGCACATTGTTGTGTTTAGATAGAAATCCTAATGAGAGATAGCTATGTTGTAATTGGAATTCGATATAACCTTATAGCAAAATTCCACTTTTTTTTACTAAACCGAATTTTACATTTTATATTCCTTTCAAAATATTTAATGGCTGGTCTATCTTAAGAAAAACAAGTTTTAATATAGCACATCACTAATAATATTAAACTGATACAGCTATATAATAATCTAAAGAAGTATGCTCACATGTCACTCTTTTCAGCTTGATACAGTCTATTGGACACAGATGCTAGAAATGCCTGGACACAGTGGGCGTCATTTTTTAATCCAGCATTAAGAGCTCTGAAACAAAATAACTGGTTTATACGCTTTTCATTACAATAATATTAGCAAAATATATTATCAGAGCCGTCAGGGATGGCTGATCAATAGGAATTCTGCACCCGGCTCGCACCGACCACAGTACTGACGTAAAATATCCTTAGTGGTAGACGGATCATGGGTTAGAGTCTCCTTGCTGCCAGGTTAACCGTGCGAGGTTTTTCCCTCCATGTAATGCAAATGTGGGTTAGTTCCATCAAAAAGTCCTGCACAAAGGCAAATTTCTCCCGATACTAGATCGAGGAGTTCCTTTTTCTTCTGGATAGAGCTCAAAATTACAAGGCTACAGAGTTGAACATTACGGAGTCATAACCCCCAAATTGGGTCGATTGTTCAAAGAGGATTATAAAATAAAATCAAATATATAATCAGGATTAAGGTAAGACTTCATTTTTTTTTAAATCGGTAGCAAAGTTTGCTAGTGAGAAAAAATACTAATAGCAAAATCAGAGCTTATAAAAGCTCTGTTTCAAACAGTATGACAACACATTTTGTGAAGAAGAAAATTCAACATAATCATTACTGTGTGACTTAATACAATAAAACAATCACTGAATGGTAAATATTAAATATTTATACTCGTATAAAAGTTTAAATCCTCAAATGTGCCATTCTGAATGCGTTGGTAGTACTAACATATATAAAACATCAAGATTTTAAAAACAACGAGGAAATTGCTAGGTTGTAAATAAGAAAACTAACTGTAAGCACTGCCGAGAAAAAGATTTGAAAATAAGGTTGATTTATGGCGTCATAGTCGTAAAATGAGAGTATCAAAAAGGGGTAGATCAAAGGTGAAGTGTGTTGAAATGACATCACAATAAAAAATATTAAAAAAACCACATGAAGAAGGCTGCAAAAATGAAAAAAGAACTGGCTGTGAAAGTGATTGAAAAACGATTCAGATTGTAGGTGAAATAGTCAATAATAAAAAAAATCGGAATTTAAAAAACCATGTTCAAATCGATAAATAATGACCAAAAAATTATCGGAAAATTAGGTGGATTTTCAACAGAATCATATCAAATTGAATATTTAAAAAGATTATTACTAAAGTCTAAAAACTTAAGTACTGACATAACACTGCAGAAGTAAAATATCCTCAGTGGTAAAAAAAAAAGTCCTTCTTGAAGGCAAATTTCGCCCAATACTCATTCCAGGAAGTTCCTTTGTCTTCTGGATTGGGTTCAAAATTACAAGGCTACGGAGTTGAACATTACTAGTCATAAACCAAAATAAATATTGGATCAGCTGTTTAATGACAGTTATGAAATAAAAAAAATAAAACAATAAACGGATTAGTTGATAAAATCAATCATCAATCACATCAGAAACAAAGATACAAACAGTATAAAATATTATCATATCTATGTAATGCCTATTAACTGCTTTCGTGCCTTAGTAATAATACATATAAAAACATACCTGCATAAGTTTTCAATTGCAGTGTCTCTTAAGTTCTCAAATGCAGTTCCAGAGCTGGTAGTAGTTGCGGCATAAACAGTGGTAGGTGCATCTGAGGTAACCATAATATTTAGGTTTGCAGTTCGAACATGATGATCTGACTGCTTGTTAAGTCTCAACAGTATTGGGGAAGGGTTCACCAGAAAATCACGAAGAGCATCTATACAGGTGTGAGATATGCTGGGAAACTTTTCTGCTAACTGTCCTAATCCCTGCATACACAAGAAAAGAAAATAAGTTGATATTTTTAAATAAAACAGGCTTAGCTCCAATCACAAATGGAAAAAAAATATATAAACATATAATTTGAAACTAACAATTACTGAAATTAATATTTATAATAACTTTATATTATCTCTTTTCAAGTATTTGATGAAAATTTTTACGGAGCGTAAATTGGAGTCACAGTTGGAGTTAAACCTTTAAACTACCACATCTCTGTTTCAATTGCCACTTTAAATGGTTATTTCAATCCCTGAATCTGGCATAAATTACCGTTTGTCAACTTGTGACGAGTGGGAAGTGAATTAGGCTTTTTTAGAGCATTGATTTCTTAAAAACATCTACTCGCATTCTCATTTGGTGCTCAATTTCAGGTGCTTAGTGGGACTAATGCACAAGTGTGATGTTCTGTTACTTTTTAGTGTGGAAGAATATGGTTCTGGAACATTAATGAACTGAAAGAAAATATGTTGATAATTAAAATAAAACATATTTAGCTTCATTCGTAAATGGAAAATAAATAAACACACGTAATTTGAAATTAGCAATTACTGAAATTAACATTTACATCAATTTTTACATTAATACTTTTCAAGCATTTGATGAAATTTTTAAAGAATGTAGATTGGAGCCACAGTCGGAGTTAAACCCTTAAATTATGATATTTCACTATTGCTAATTTTAACTTTATAGTCTAATTTTTTTTTATTTTAAAAATATTTAGTATAATCTTTTTGTAATACTAACAAGTTTAATGCTGACTTTGCTAATGCGCTAAGTTTGAAAGCAATCATGCTAAATAAAGAAAAAACGTTAAGTGCAAAATTAGCCATCTAGATTACTCTACATTTATATTTTTATACTGCAATTATGATATTTTATACCTTCAAAGCTGTTTCTAGGAATATGGGTTGATAAAGAAAAAACTTCAGTATATAAAAATATTCAAAATTATTTAAAACAGTTTGATGTATAAACTTTATGAATAAATAATTCACAAATATGTGAGCTTCAATAGACTTAAGTTTCAAGAAAAAAGTGAAAATAAAAATGCGAATAAAAATACTTAGAACTGACAACGTGAATTTGACATAGCCTCTAAATTTTTTTGTTACGAATGTTTGTTTGCCTTCTAACTAAGGTGATCTCCAAAGTAAGGAAGGTTCAATAGGTTCTAATACGTTAATAATAAACAAGCTCTGCTTTGTGTTTGCTTTAGAAAGGGAAAACCTTTTCACATACTTCAGAATCAGTTTTGTTCTATATTCAGGGCAAAAATAAAGCCCTTATGAGGAAAATATTTAAGTTTTGGATTAAAGCTCGGCAATCAGATAATTTAGCTACGTCACAAAATGAAAATTTGACTAGTTGTCCATTGTTGAATAAATGAAGATAAAGATTATAGAAGAGGTCAAAATAAAATAATGTTAAGAAAGTTTAAGTAAAAATATTTTAACTTCAGATAATTTGATAACTATAGACCAAAAATTATCTCAGAAAATTTTAGATTTCACCCTCTCTCCTCTCAATGTAGTTATTTTATTCCTGAAAAAAAAATTTAGCATTATAATACTATTCCCTTTATAAGAGTACATAGACATGTGGCTCAGATTTATTTGATATTGGATCATGAAGGATTAGCAAGAGGCAAATATAAATCATTTTAACCCACACACAAAAGGTTATGTTAAAAGGTTAAATGATGCATTGATAATTTCCTAAAAATTTAATGATATTTTGTTTTACTCACTTTTAAAAAATTTTGCTTTAGTTTAGTATATCAGAAAAAAATAATTATCAAAAAAACGTAAATGTTAAAAAATATGTAAAACTTAAAAATTTTAAGAGAAAAAAGTAGTACTTACTTCCAAACAAACCATTAACAATGGCATATGGGCTAGAGCTATTTTAGCAGAATGAGAGGAATGGATTTTTTCTTGAAGACGCATACACAGACTATCAGCCCCTGATCAACAAAAAAACTAACTTAATGATTTTTTTAATAATTTCAAATAGAAGAGAGAATAAATTTCATTTCCTCAATAAATAGTGTTAAAACACATGTTGGTACATTAAGACGCTCAATACAATGACCTGTGTTTAAAACAAAAACTGATAAAACTAGGCTGCTATATCATCTTTTTTTCATACTATGCCCATCATCAGGATCTCTGCCATTAGTCAAAGAGCAGCTCAGAAGAAGAAGAACAAAAGTCAGAATAGAGGTTAGCTCAGTGTTTCCCAACCTTTTCTGTACCCTGCCCCACCTAAGCCTTTCTAAAATTCTTATGTCCCCCTATGTAACATATACATAATTTTTAATATTAAAAAAATCGAATTGTTCACTTAAGAAACTTAGGAAATTGTTAGCGAAACAAAGTAAGTAAATTTTCAGAACATTTGTGTTATATCTAGCTGATTTTTTTTTACCAATAAAATCATTTACAGCACTAAATCCACATTCAGCTAAATATGAAGATGGAATTGGTAACAATAGTTTTCTTGCACATTTGATTGAATTTGGGTATTTGTATTCTGCTTCCTCTAGAAGCCATGCCATCACTCCTTTCATATTAAATAAGGTTTTAACTGGCTCATCATTTTGCATTTCTGCAAGTTCTTCTTGATATATTTCATATATCAGACAAATCCACTAACAAGGACTACAACATCCATGTTGGAAAATAAATTTGTTTTAAATCAGAATATCTTTCTTTTAAATCAGCCGATAGAATTTTCAGATGATAGACAATAACAAGTAAAGGGGTATCATTTACTTCACATTTTTGGAGCCAATGAAACTGTTCAAAGTTTTTGTTGTTAATATATTTCTGACATAACTCAATAAGGGTAATGAAGCCATATATCTTCGCTTTTGCATCAACAAGGTTTTATTTGTTCCTTGAAGTTTCTTATTTAATATATTCAGTTTTTCAAAGATATTGACTAAATAACTCACAAATGCTTTACCATCGACTGTAAACAGATACTTCATTTCAGGTTTGTCACTTAAAAAATCCCTCAGTCACATAATATTTATTGACCGCAATTATTTAAGAATTTGCTTTTTTCTTTCGATTTTGTCACCGAAATCTCGCATTGCATTTAAATGGCCCAGAGCAAAAGGTTTAAACTCATGTCGAGTCCATTTTTGAATTGCCCCCCTTTGCAATTAAATTGCCCCCCGGTGGGGCATGGGCCCCACGTTGGGGAAACAGTGGGTTAGCTGCTATAGAGTTGTCGTTAAAAAAACTCAAACATAATGGGGAAATTGTAGAGGTAGTCACCATCCATATCACCTTGGGGGAACAGAGAGCAGTTCTTTACTTCAATTCAATACAGGTGTTTTAGAGTAGTGATGTCAAATTCTTCTACTGGCACGACAGCCCTTTGTGGGCCAGAGCCTTTCCTAGAATCTTCCTCTTTTCATTGCGATTGTTCTCCAGTTAGTAACTCTCAGGATTTAAAAATCCTCTTCCACACAATCAAGCCATCAAATCTTAGGCCTAACTTTAGTTCCCATAAGTTTGTAATTGAAGTCATGTCAAATAATCAAACAAAAGCAAGCAATTCAGACCAACAGACCAAAACAAGGAAAAAAATTTATTCAGCGTGGCATTCCACCTCGTATCTACAACTATGTCTTGATGTAAGGAGATTTTGTTATCTTACAACTTACCCGTATCATGAGTACAAAAAATACATAACTCATACAAACTGGACTAATTTTCATGAAAACATTACTCTTCAATACACTTCCTTAAAAAAGTTCAATTTCTGTTTGATTTGTATGGCGTTACAGTGTTTATGAATAGCCATTTTGGCTAAATAACGTATGACCATAGAAATGCAAAGTCTAAGCAAAAAAGAGTGAATAAAAATTTAAAACAAGGAAAATATAATTAACAAATTAATTGAACTCTTTATGAAGAAATTTTAAAAGGTTATGAATCCATACAGAAAACTTGGTATTTCCCACAAGAACACACTTTTAATTCTCAATAATGAAAAAGTATTCGATATTTAAACCATCTTTTTGATCATAGATAATGCCCAGGAACACCTAGGCGTTATTAACTCCCGAAACTCTTCCTTCATTTATGGAGAATTTAATGTAATTTTTACGTGTGTTGAGCAATAACAGAAAAGAAATATATAAAAAATAGTGATATGAATCATCTCTTTGAGACTTTTACTGCCCATTGATATCAGTGTCAATGCAAAAAGTTTGTTTTGAAAGTACAAATCTGTGACATCGAGTCACAGGCTAATTTATAAAATCCTGATCCAATTTATAAAATCCTGATACAATTCATACATCGCCCCTTAAACCTTAGTGCAATAGGGACATTCTCCACCAGAAATTCCATTCTCACCTCTTTTCACGAAAGCGGCTTCTTTGATCTCGCACGTGAAGGGTGCGAGTGCATGAATTTTCATAACCGTGGCCGAGATCAAGTTTTAAAAAAACTTTCACTTTAATTTCGAAAAATAGGTAATAACACCTCAATTTTCAAAAATAGGTAATTATACTTCAACTTTCTAGATGTGTATAAATACCGTGAGCGATTAACGCTCATCAGCATTCGAGTTTACCTTTCTCACCTGAGGTCGGAGTTTAATTTTAACATGGCGTCATCAACGCCAATTTTAGTCTTTCTATCAAATTGGCATCTGCCTTAAGTTTTACAAATGAATTTTATCTTTTTCATTTTAAATTTGACATAGTAAATTTGCTGCCCTGAAGAATATGGAAGATCTGTCGTCATCACCATTTATGCGTTTAATTTAACTCTGCATCTGTTGTTTATTTATACACCATGGGAGTTTGCTATCATCGGCTTTACCATCTTGATATCCACTATGAAGGGGTTGACGCCATCATTCCCCCCAAGATATGATTCAGAATGACTTCATATCCAGTGATTCTTTCTCTGAGTCATGTGCCATGATGGCCGGTGTTTTCAGTGAATCCCAGCTCTTGCGGACATAGAATAGATATTCAATTATGTGCGGTTTGTTTTGAATTCTCCTGCCGAAAATTCCCCATCAAAATTTGACCAACTCTCCATGATTCTGAATTTGCCATAAGTTGATTTCTGCTGATGTCCCGACGTCAGAAAACCATGAAATAAAAGTGAACTTCCATTTATTTGAACACTGGACTTTTTATTTTAGTTTGCCTTTTTTTACAGTAGTGTTCTTAAAAATAGTTGAGATGTTATCTTCACTTCAAAATTAAAGGTATGTGGTAATTCTCATCCCTGTTTTCTTTTAGATTGTATTTTTGTCAGTTGTTACAAGGGTTACATTTTTCGGAACACATTCGCCTTGTTGCGAACCACTATACGTTTTATTAATTCTTCTATATTTTTTTCTGGACACCCAGTTATTTTTCTCTTTAATATTTTTTTATTTTTTTACAATACCCAGCATCTACACCACAAAATCGCTTTACATCGGAGAGTAATTTTCTTCAAATTGCAAAAATCAAATAACATTTAGATCACTAAATTGGAATGAGCGATTCAGTTGGAACGTTCCACCATTAGAGTTAAAATAACCCTGTGTCCATGGAATAGCATATAAAACTTCATGGATCAGTCATTATAAGGGAAGGGTTGCAGTAATGGGAGTCATACTAAAGAGTGTAGACTGCAATATTTTAGCAAATATTCAACGCTAATTTATAAATTATCAAGCTGATATGAAATGCTAAAAAAGAAACTGAGTGTCAATTCATGAGAAGATATTTATTAACTGTCATTAAAGAGGTAAAAAAATTTACAACTTTGATCAAGCATTATGAATCTGATAAAATTGATATTCTTGTAAACTGAATTACAACAGTACTGAATTTAACAGAGATTGTTTTTAAATGAGGGAATTGTAAGAGATGCTTATTTTTCATAGCAGATTCTAATTTTAAAGCCCTTAGATTTTGATAGTTTTGTGACATAATGCATTGTATGTCAGAATATAACAAATTTTTCAAAAAAATATAAAAATTCAAAATCGAAATGACAAAAAGTTTTTTGACAGGATTTTCTTTCCGAAATTTCCAAGATGATTTCAAGACACCAGGACACCAAGATTATGAGCAAATAAATTCTTATCTCATTTATCTTTAGTAAAATTGCAGAATTTCTACAGAAGCTAGACATTTATTTTTTAATGTTAAATAAATTTATTAAAAGGACAAATTTAAATTCAATTAAAATTTTTTACAAGAAAATAATTAATTGTAAATGCGATTTTTTTTTTTATCAAAGTGAGTATGATCTAAACCAAAACTCAAATACATAGTTACTTTCCAAATATAAAATATACAATTTAGTGATAACATAAATACCACAAGAATAAATACTAAATGCTTTTAACAAATTATACAAAAGAAGAAATCTGTGATTAAACATATATACATATATGTAAGTTTTATTTTAAAAAAAAATTAATTGCTATTATAACTCAGAAGGAAATCTAAAGAAAATTTTTAAATGGATTGTAGTGCTACCAATTATTTATTTATTTATTTTGACTGCGCACATTAAAAGCCAAACAAATTGTTAGTATCGAGAAAAAAAAAACTGAACTGCATGAACACTAAATTTGGTGTATTTTGTTGAACTTAAAGCATTATTTATGTGTTCAAAATATTAAAAAGATGAAATTAATAGAGCATTTTTACCTATATCATCAGCTATTGCCCAGACTAGGAGATCCACACAAGCAGCATTTGTTTGTACATTCACTTTGAACCTGTTGACAACTGTAAAATTTGATTCCTTGTCTTCTCTTTCACTGGCATCATGCTGCCTAGTTTGAAGCTCTGTTTGTCCAGATAAAAACAAGCCTTTTACAAATTCTTGCACATCTTTTGTAAATGGTGGAGGAAGATCTGAAATTTAAAAAACAATAATAGATTAATCTTACTTGCTAAAAAAAAACATTTTAAAATGATACTTCTTTCTCATTTCCTACTTAAGAGATACGAGCTAGAAATTAAAGATGTTAGGATAATATAATTATGGACAATATAGCTTGAAAAGAAAATAAATATGAAAACAATTCTAATTTATCCTTGACACTATCTGAGCACCATTTAGCTTAGCTAGCATGTAACAAATTTGACTAAAAAGGATTCTAAAAACCTCAAAATTTTACGAGCTACATTTTATTAGAGCAGGAGCATAAACTGGTTTCATTGTTTGATAATTTTTCTTTATTAATAAAAAGTATTCTGCTAAAAAAGATGCAATTTTAAGATTATAAGATTTTTGTTCAAATCAATACTTGTCTTATTTAACCCTGGAATAATTTAGATTCTGCTGCAATTAATACAAACACTGCTTTTTATCTAATTTTATATGTTTAACAACACGTAAAAGAAATTTAATTTTAAAACCATTAAAATAATTTCCTTACTTGTCTGAGGTTGAAGTAGTTCTCGTAATAAACAGACAAGAACTAAATTTAATGTCTCACTAAAACTTTTATAGGGGAATATCTTCAACTGGCCAGACTGTAAAAGAAACACAGAGCTTATTATTTATAGAAATTCAGATAAAACAAAAGTCCAAACAGAATCAATGGAAGATAAAAAGTATCGTACCGAGTATACTTCATTGGCCTGACAGTCCAAAAAGCTCAGCATATCGGTAGTAAGTAACTTCTTAGCCTAAAAAATAAACATTGTTAGCTGAAAATTTTTTAAACACAAGAGCCATTAATAGTTAGAGAACTTTATAACACTAAGAACTTTTTAAAAAATTGTCATAACTGGCTAAAGTTAAAATCAATTCCTTGTGAGAAGTTTTTAATATAAAGTAGACTATAGTAAAAGTCAGTTATAACAAAAACTTAAAACATTAGATGAAATTGTTGCTATAATAAGTTTAAAGCTACTAAAATAAAAACCCAATAAAATTTTAACTGTTTTTTATTTATTAGTGAAATAATTCTGTTTTGAATAAAAAAAACATAAATTTTTAAACCTTATAGGTTCTAAGTGAGAAAGTTGAGATGTAGTATTTTGATAATAAATGTATTTAATAATAAATATATTTTTTCAAAATTACTTAAATGAAAATTTAATGACTCATTTAAAAGATAAAAGTTAACCTCTAAATTACATCTAGGAAACAAATTTATTCAAAGGACAGCGCCTAACAAAATAGAGATTGTAAAATAATAAAGAGTAAAAGTGACTTTGACCTGAATTTTCTGAAAAAATTTAATTAGAAAAATTCTGTTAAGATTCAAGAAATTCAGACATTTCTGAAGAAAATGATGCAAGAAAAGAGACCAGAATTCACCCCAGGTAAATACACATATTTAACATTAAAATAAACTAAAAGATGAAATAGACACATTTACAATTTTTTTATTCTGAATAAAAAGATTAATATTGTAAAAAGGAAATAAGATGGAATGATGTACGCTTTTACGCTTTTTGAATGATGCACTTACTGAAACAATATATTGGCACTATAAAAAAATGCAAATTGCCAATATAATCATGTTCAGAGATTTAAAGAATTATAAAACTGAAGAAAATTTAATAACTTTGGTTCTTTTAGTCCTATAAGTTTTCTTTCGATTTTATTCAATTTAACATTAAAAAAAAAAAAAGAAATAATACCTAAATTGCCCTGAAAGTGATTTCAGAGGCATTTATAGGTATAATGAAAACATGTTCTTCATGCTTGCTAAATTCCTCACAACTTCTGAGTCCTATGGATTTGAGTTTCCTATCATTTGATTGAGCATAAAAAGATTTATAAAAAACAATACCTTTACTTGTTTATACAGTGAAATTTAAATTTTACCCTCTTTTGATTCCGTCTACTCCTCAGTTAATTCAAAATGGCAGCTAAAAATCTCCTCTAAGAAGAAGGCAAAATTTCAGGTGTACATCCATATTGAGCCCAAAGCCACAACTTTTTAAGCAGTACACCAATAATTAAATAATTTATAATTTCTGAACCCAACTACTTAAAAACTGCCCTTCTAACTTTTCAATTGATTTTAAAATAGGAATAAAAACTAATTAAACAATGGTGCATACCATGGCTAACACTACTTGAAGATGAGCCACAGTAAAGAGTAGTGGGTGTTCTTCATCATTCATCATTCCCAAAGCAGGCAGCTTGCCAAAACTGGATCCAAACTTGTAGAAGTAATAGCTTGTTGGGTCATAGGTCAGGGAAGACTGGCTGTACAAAGAAGCTCTTTTGCTTGAAAATCCACTGCTACTCACAAAACTATTCAAATCAGCTCCAGAATCCTGGCTGGTCAAGGCGGTGCTGGATGCATTCCTGGACACGGCGGACATGGACCGATGCAGTATCGGCCTGAAGTTGTGGAAAGTGCGCTGCTTAGAGCAATTTGGAGGAAAACCATAGAGGGACGATTTAGGCGAATCGGGTGACGTGGGTGTCGTTGCTGAGGGAGCAGGAAAAAGACGAAGGAAGAAGGGTGGGCCGGATTTACTGCCCCTTCCCATAGCTCTGGCTGTTCCAATCAGTACAGGTACTACTGACTTGCAAAGTGTAACTGAAATTAAAGGAATCAGATAATGTATCAAAAACATAGAGCTATCATTAGACACAAACAACACCACGTTTTTAAACACTATGCACTACTTGAAAATTTAACAAAACATATATTGGGTGCGTTCTGCCAAACAGAGCTTTTGCAACTCACTCTCAATTTCTTCAAATTCAGTTTGTTGTCTAACGATTGTTAATCATTAAACTGTTAATTTTTCAATTGATTCAATTCATGTTTTCATGTAACTTCATCATTCTCTATTTAATAAAAAATTTTATATCATTATTTTAAATATTTCTTTCAGAAAATTTAAACTACAATAAAAAAGTTAAAAATCTTAAAAGATAATAAGATACAATTCACATTCTACTGAATGTGAGTTGATCTTTCTACTTTAAATCACTACACATATTCTCACTTTCTAAATGAATATTTTAGATAAATTTTTATTTTGATAAAAAAAAAGTGTCAATTTTCTTTTTTGTAGCATTGGAAAACATTTTGTATTAAAAAGGAATTTTGTTTTCAAAACATCTGAATTCTACACAAAATCGTTTATTTACAACAAAAAGAGTAAGAAAGAATATCTCAATTCTTCTTTAAAAATGAAAACCGATTAAACTTTTCAGTTTGTTTTTAAACAGCATCATCAGAGCAGCTAGAAGCGGTATCCAAAAGCTCTGTGTTGGAGAACAGACCCAAAGTTATTATTTTCTATTCATACAAATTCATTATTCTAAACATCGTAATCAACATGAAAATTATAACAAAAAGCTCTATTATAATGCAATGATGTTAATGCTATAACTACTATAGTTTTGAGTGTAAAAACATCAATTATAATAGTAAAATTAAGGATATGAAATTTAATACAAAATTTATTTGTGCAGCACTCACACAAATAAGGCCTGATCACAAAAGAGAGAAATGAATGAGCACAATTATAATACAAAAATAACACAATTGTAGAATATATGAACTGAAATATAAATAATGACATCAAATAACATATTTTCTTTTAAATTTGATTTTTAAAAAAAAAATTTTAATTCAATTTTAAAAATTTATTTTTTAATACATACATACTATTTAACATATCTCACATATACTTGGTCTCCTATCAATAATGGTACAAGCATTAAGGGTATGTTGAGCTGATCAAAATGATAGAGAATTACACAGCTACCCATGACCGTCAATGAGAATTCATCCATATTATGAAAATATTGGTTGTCTGCTTTTGAACCAGCAATTGTAATAATCTAAAATATTTTAATTTTACATTCATTTTATGTTTTTTAATAATTATTGTTGAAAAATTGTATTCATATAAACAAACAAATAACTATTTCATTTTAATTTAATGATTTATGGAGTTAATGATATTACTCATGTGGTCTTTGAATCAGAACTTGTATTTATCTAAAATAGCTTAATTTTACATTAATTTCGTGTTTTTCAAATAATAATGGCCAAAAACTGATTCAGAAATAGCTGTTTTGTTGTAATTTAACAATTTGGGGATTAAATCAAGTTTTTAAAAAACAACAACATTCAATTACCATAAAACCGCTTATGCCGAATCTATTCCAAGAATAATTATTTGAAAACATAAAATTAAAATAATTTAGATAAATAAAAATACTTTATCCAAGGTACACGAAGAAATAGCTCATCAATGCCACAACCGATGAACACTCACGTTTCTGGTTATGGGTTGCTATGTAATTCTCCATTATTTTCATGTACCCAACACCATCTTAAGGCTTGAACCATTATTTACAGGACACTTTTCATATGTAAATGGCATAAAAATAAGCTTTTCTTTGAAATAGTTATCTAATTGATTTAGCTTTCCAAGTTTATTTGCATCTGTTGTAGAAAATTTTTGAAAGAAGAAAAAATAATACACATGCAAAGAAAACTGTTTTTAAGTGATTTATTATTTATAGTTCAAAAGAAAAGAAGAAAAAATACATTTTTTAAAACAGAAAAATTAAAAGTATAAAAAGAAAAATTTGTACTAACTAATTATTAAATTATTAATTATTAAGTCGGTTATTAATTTTCAAAATTACATTTTTAATTAGCAATCACATTTTGACTCTGAATTTTTAACAGTTTAAAGGATAACACATAGTACAGCTTTTATAAAAGACATAAAGAAACATGACACAAATACATAAGATAAAGTATATATACTTTTTGCAGCAAAAGTAGATTCTTTTTCCTTAAAGTTCCTGCAAAGGTTAGCTAAAGTGCCCAGCAAATCAACTTGTGCAGCAATAATCTAGTAAAACAAGCAACTGTGCTTAAAAACAGTACCAAGAATACATTCAACAAATTCAGCTTAAAATTTGAAAATAAATAAAAAAATAATGTCACAGTGTTCCCTGATGGTTTTGCTAACTTATGTATTTAAATTATTGGAATAACCATTAATTAATTTTTTTTTCTAGAAAAGTTGATTTATTTCCTGTTAATAATACCTCCCTATCCACTGCTAATATTGTATTGAATATTCAGGCACAATGAGTTATTTTTTTTACTAATAGAAAATTGTCCAATTTTATTTTATCTTCATGTCCTTGATGACTTGTGTCTTAAAAAGTGGCGTTAAACTGATTTTTTTGTTTCCCCATTTTGGATGTTGGTTTTGTTAATTTGTTTTATTACACTACGAGGTTCTTCTCAATGTGTTCAGGGTATAGTAAAGCTTTGCTGACTTTGGGTTGTTCACAAGGGTACGTTTGGATAACCATATTTAGTGACCTCAATTTTTTTGCACTTGATTAGTCAATTGTCTGTTAAGCGTCAATTCATTTTGGCTTATTAGAGGATAATTTTCGGTTCACACATAGATTCAGTCTTTTTCTAAACTAGCCACTGCTTGGTCGTGGTTCCTCTTCTGTTCGTTTTTTCCCCCCCAGAGGATAAAAGTGGCATCTTCACTGAATAAAGACTGTTTCTCATCTTACATAAATTCAACATTTTAAGGGTTTGTTTGACAGTACCAAGCCAAAGTCTTGTTATTAAATAATGAAGACAGACTTTTATTGAAACTTTTGTGCTATTGCAGAGGCATTCCTGCAGTGTCAGTCTATTACATGATAAACATTGTGTTTTGCCATGAATATGCAGAAAGCTTGCACATTTTTTCCTTATTACAATCTTCGATAACACTAATTTTCAATGTAAGAAATATTTTGCTATTATTAACACTCATATTTTGAGTGTTCATTTAGCAAAACAAAATTCATACTACCTATGGTTGGCCATTGATCAAAAGTTCCCATTAAAGGACATTCAGTTCCCTAAACATATGGAAGTTTTTCAGAATTAACTGTCTTTTAGAGGCGGTCATTAAGGGAGGTTTGACTGCATATTAAAACTGTTAATTTGTGTATTCCTTATCAATATAAAGATTAATAAATAATATTTTGATTTTAAAAGATTAAGTTATATTTGTTATAAGAAATTATTCATTATAAGAAATTTATGAAGGAAAACAGATAAAAGTACCTCATCTCGTATGTCTTCGCAAAGACATGCGATATCTGATAGCAGAGTGTTAATGCAAAAAGCAAATCTCTCACTAACAGGAATTCCTAAAAAAAAGAGAGAGCACTGAATGTTAACAGACAACATAACAACAAATTAACTCAACTTAACAACAAATTAAGTAATATAAGAATTTCTGACAAGACATCATCATAAATTTTCAGAAATCATCTTAAAGCATGAATAAAAGTTTAAAAATTATTTATTGGCAAATTGTATATTCTAAATAAAATTCACCAAAATAAATTGAAATGTCATAAGCTTTAAACCTGTTGGCATATGGCCTTGAACTGACCAAAACATATTCATAGATTTATTTAATAATTAAAAGATGAGTATTTTTATATACTTAAAGAAAATGGTACTTAAATGGTTATAAGGCTTTAAACAAGCATGTCCCACAAGTGGAAAACATAGATGAAATTTCTGTGATCATTTCACAGACCTATATCGTACCTCTACAGTAGTTTTTAAGCACTACTAAAAGAAAATAAAGACTTTCAAGCATACAAAAAAAGAAAAGAAAAAAACCATTTTTGCAACAGCATAATGTAATTTCTCTTTTCTAGAAATGTTTTTTGTTTAAATTTGCATTTAATTTCACATCATAAAATTTAATTAGCTTTAAAAGATGAGGAGTAAAGTAAATCATTGATAGCATAGCCTTTACACTCCGACAGCAACATGAAGTTGTATCGTCAAAAAGAGCTTTTTGAATAAGAGCCTCATACATATATTTTAAATACATTTTAATCTACTTATTTGTCTCGTTAAACTTTTCAATTTTTATATTTTTTCGCGCTTTCTTATATGACCTTTTCTACATTTGATGCAGATGTTTGCCCGGTCACTGGGAGAGGTTTTAATGGTCTCCCTTAAAGATTTTCTTCAACACAAAGTTTATGGAAAAAATTCTGTGCCTCCCAAAAGTGGTCGTAAATAGAGGTGAAGTTTTACTGTATTATCTATACAATTTATTATACAATTCATTATCTATACAATTAAGTTTGTTTTATATTAAGGAATAATTAAGTTAAATGGAAGTGATATAAAAAAATAAAAAATGAATTCATTCTGCTACGAATTTTTCTGAAAACTCAAAATAAGGACTTCCTTTACTTTTTGTTTCACAAAGCTAGTTTCACATGACGCCCAGTGCGCTGTCGTGCCACAGGTCCCTGGTTCGATCCTCGGGCCGGGCAAGGTTGACTCAGCCTTTCATCCCTTCAGTGGGTCGATAAATGAGTACCAAGCATGCTTGGGATCTAAACACTGGGGGTTCCGCGTTCGGCTGACCACCTGACCGGAACATCTGCTCCTGCACCCCAGAGTCCAAGGTCAAGAAAACTGAGATGGGCACAGTAGGCCTTGGCCCCCAAGGGCTGTCGCACCGCTGAGTTTAGTTTAGTTTCACATGACCCATAAGGTACAACAAGAACAATATAGAAAAAATGCAAATGTTAATGTAGGGGAAGAAATACAAAACATAAAATAATAAAATTTGATAGAAATGTAACGAGGCATACTATCTGTATCATGAATCCGTGCTTCATCAACCCAAATTGCTTTAGCTAAGCCTCTGAGAAGCTTCATAAAATATGGAACAATAGCATCTTGATACTAAAACAAAAAATATACATTACTTATTTTTCAGAACATATAAACATAGCAAACAAAAATATGACAACCATAAATAACTTTTCTTTAACTACTTAAGTATTATAATCAGAAACTTCACAATGTTTAAAAGACAAAATATAATTTATTTTTTACATTCTTAACCCTTTTATAATTTTTTATAAACAAAATTTTTCTTTTAACAGCACATTGTATTTTTACCATTGATAATATTATAAATAAGTTTTCTTAAAATCTGGGCTTGCTTCTTGCAGTCAGGCCTTGGATCGTTAATGTCCCATTAGTCTTTTTGAGTGACTAGACTAATGACTCAAGAAAAAAGACTACTAGGGCATATGCATCCGAAGTTGTAAAGATAAGATTGTTTTTATTGTTTTCATAAGATGAAAAGTCAGAATTTTGTAAATTACGATTCAAAGCGAAAAAAGATATAAATAATATTTATATTATGGCACTCACTTTTTCGTATCTCTATTTAAGTTATATTTCTCACAAAATGTAGCGGAAAAATTCACAAAAATGTGATTTTGTCAAAGCTATGCTGCCATGACAGTTCTAAAAGTGCTGCCAACCATCCAAATGGAAGGAGAGAAATTCAAAAGACTGTAAAGTGAGAGTCTAATGTTAAAATGGGATCTATTTAGACTAACAGTCTACTTGGAAGATCTGATGGGACATATATGTCTCGAGAGGTTCAAAAGGGTTCATACATATCTGTCTGCATGATGAAAATTCATTATTATCGTAGAAAATAACAATTTATAAGCATTTGAAGAATGCATCAGAATCATATGGATTTGTTAAAGAATTTGACAAGGCATTAATTTTATTTTAACTTAGAGGATACATTGTTGTTGTAAATTACAGAACATTTTAATTTTCTTAGATATTAAGATAAAAGATTTTGGTTAAATAAAAACAGCTTATAGTGCTAATTTCTGCTGAGTAAAAACGTCTTTTATCATTTAAAATCAAAATTTAGTTCATCTTTATTTATTGAAAATTCAAAAAATTTATTAAGAAAGTTATGCTCAATAACCTTTAAGAATGTAATCAAGATTACTAGTTTGAAAAGGGTAGAATAATTTGGAAAAATTCACAACTGTTTGAAATTATAATTATAACAATAACAACAGAAAAAAAGGTTGGCAAGCCAGTTTTTTTTGAGGAAGATTGGTATGTGAGATGGTAAACAGTCTAAGTTAGGTGATAGATATTTTGCCAAAGTTTTATTGTCCACAGGAGTTAACCTGATAGCCACTTAAAAATCTTTCCTTTATAAAAAAAAGGGAACTGCTTGGAGGGGGAGAATGGAATTCAGATCCCTGTAATTGTGAAAGTTTGGAACAAGAAGGGAGAGTGTGACATTTTAGTCTAAAATAAAAGCATTTAAAATTAGCACATTAAATACATTTATATTATTTGTTTTTATACTTTTTCCGCAAAATAGGGACATGCCTCATCTTTATATAATTGTAATGCTCACAAACCTCAATAAAATTGATGTTGTTGTTGTCATCAGCCATTAAGGCAGAGGGGATGCAATTGTTCTTGTTTTCCAGTGGCGCTATCTATGGCCAAGAATTCGACTTCCGTCACACCCATAGGTCACACCAGTTTCATAGACGGACCCACTCATACATCCATTTATTCATCCACAGATTGTAATTTTGACCTGAACCAGAGAACATTCAATCTCCAATTCAGTACCCCAGAGGTATAATTTGAAATGGGAACATGGAGGACTTTTTGACCCGACAAACTTAATGTGCACCAGTCACCATTTACTACACGAGGATTCCTTGGCCAGCTGGGTTCGAGCTCCCCTTCTCTCGAACGTGGGTCAAGCGCCCTGCTAACCAGGGTTTCCCAGCCCCATTAAAACTGATAGTTAAAAGTTTAAAAATAAAAATTTAAAATATGATCAGGAACATATGTTTTGCTTCCGAACTGTTAGCATTAGTTTATGTAATGTAGCATGACATACGATAAGTGGTGATGATAAATTATGACACTTTGTGACAAAGGGGAAGTAAGGGTCCAAAAATACCAAGAAAAAAAATCATTTATAGTTGACTCCATAGTTTATGTACTGAAGGCCAGAAGTCCTAGTTCAGTGCTCCAGTTGTGAATTCTAGCAAACAAATAAATAATGTTTTTAATAAAAACAAACCTGACATCCAGATTGCAAAAAATAAATTCCAAGACTAAATACTGCATCTTGACCTCTCTGGTCAAACTTATAAATTCCCTGAGCAGATTCTTGAGGGCACATAGACATTAGATGATTAACCTGTAAGAAAAACTTTTTTTGAACAAATGTAATAGAGATAAACATATACAGAAGGAGAAATTATGAAAATTTTGTCACTGGTTCACAATAACTAAAAAATTACTAGTTCATACATAATTGCACTGGTTGGTTTACATGTTTTGATTAGATTTTATTTTTAAAAACTGATAAAGTGAATATAAATGAAAAATTACAATTCAGATATTCACAATTATGATGAAATAAGGTGTTTTGTTACCAAAACTTACCATCCCCTTACATTACTTGCTGGGTAAAGGGACCATTGATAATTTATTTGACGATAGTCTGAATCAAATTTTAAAGATCTTAAGCGAACAAATCACCATTAATTTTGTGTCCTGATATATATAAGTAGTATATGCATCAAGGAAATTTGGATATTGATGGATATGGATTTGGATACATAGGCAGATAGTAAAAAATTATGAAATAAGTAAAAAATAAAAAAAAATAAACTTTGATACCAAGATTAACTGCACTATAGTAGATAAATACTATAAATATATTGTAATAATTTGGACCAAAATAATTGTCAAGTTTTGGCAATTTCTGAGCAATGACACTTGAGAAACTTAGCAATCGCAGTTAGTGTAGTTAGGATCAGACATCAGTACTTGTTCATACGAACTGAAATTGAGAAAGCATCAAATGAAATAGCAGGTTATTTCAGTTGAAATAAATTAAAAAAAAAAAAAACTATATGATGGCTTTTCTTTCTTCGGAGGATGGAGAGGGGGGGGGTGGATTCAAGTTGTAGCTTTTGATTTTCCCAAAATCTGGGATGATTTTTTCTCAGTTTTGCAAGCCACTGTCCAGCAGTCGTCAAAACTTGACAATTATTTTTTCACAAGTTTTAATGTAGAAATTTTCTCCAACATTTTTTAAAAAAAAACTTTTAGGTAGATTTAAGGCTGTTTCTCAAGTGGTTAGAAGACACACTTCCAACCATTTACAACTATATTTTTACTTTCTTCAGCAGCAGAAAATGATTCTTAGAAAGAGTTGAGAAAACATTTAAGTGAATTTAGAACAAATAATATAACTTAGCATTTAAAAATGTATAAAATTTTTTTTGTTTGATATCACAATTCTTTAACTTTTTAAATATGAAGTGTTAATGTAATCACTGAACTTGAATCTTTTGCTTTCAAGTTTTTCGTATTTAAAGTGTCCCAAAATGATGACCAATTTTTTCAACTTTTGGACAGTGACAGGCAAGAAACTAAGAGAGAGAAACATCACAGAATGGCACTTAGAAAGTTTTTCCACCAACCGAGCTGCTATCTAAGATATTTCCTATTTGTGCAAACTGCAATCATAAATCAGTTTTAAACTTGAAAAACTTTTAATAAAAACATATGCTTAGAGGTTTTTTAAAAGGTGGTTACGAGTTAACTTTCCGTGATGTTTTTAATTTTTCGCAGTGGACACTAACTGTTAAAAACTTGGCGATTATTTTGGCATAGGTACGGCCACGAAAATCTTTAACTGATAGGGTGACCTGGGGTAATTCCTCATCAAAAAATGCAAACATCTATTTTGTGAAAAAACTATTCAAGATAGAATTTTAATATTTACTGGAAGTTTGAGGCTATATGAGATGAGTCTTATGCTACCTTTTTTTGTTTGAAAATCTAATTAGAATTTAAAAGGTTTTAAATTTTTAGTGATCAGGAATTATCCCTTCTCTTGATCAATTCTCGGGTAAATCTTGATCATTTCTCGGGTAATTACTGATCACCAGTTTTTATAGTAAATGGGCTGTTTAAAAATAATTATACAATGGTAATTAACAAATAAGACATTAAGATCAAACAAATAAACCAAAAAGATATGATTAAGCGCTAATAAAACTTTTTATTTAAAGTCAGGAATAAAGATTAACACTTCAGCTCTGGCAGCAGCTCTCACACTGAAATTTTCATTTTCAATCATTAAAAGAAATTCACTATTTTTGCTTTCTAGAAGCTTAGTATCCTTTTTAAGCTTATAATTTCTCACCATATTTATATTAGGTTAATTTATCAACTTAAAAATTATTCTAACAATGTACACACATAAAATTAAGATAGAAGCATGGTAAGACAAGCTAGAAATGCTGCATATCAGAACACATTTTTCTTGTATATAGTTAAAAACAAATTTTGTGATTATAGTTAAAATATATTTCATAGTTGTTTCACTTAATAAATATGAACTGTTATTTAAGAAAAGACAATTGACTATTTATTAGCTATTTTTTATAGTATTTATATGAAGAAATGACAATGATCAGGAATTACCCCAGTGATCAATAATTACCCCATCTGTAGGGGGCCACATTTGATATAGTTTCCTGTAATCAATTATAGTGTTTACAGTAGTAGATGTGAAATAATTAAGCAAAAGCCTACACTACTTTTATATCAAATAAAAAGAAAGTAACTCAAAATATTTATTATTAAGAGAAGGAGGGGGATCTTAGCAGAAATGTGCACAGTTTGAAACGCATCTTTGAAATGGAAAATACAGAAAGCATTTTAAAAGATACTTATTTTGTTAGTTTAAACAAAAAACTGTTATTAAGTAAATGTAGTTATACTTTAGTAAAGTGTACAAGCATTCTTGTCCATGCCTCAAATTTAAAAAAATATTATTTTTTTAAATAAAACTTAGGTGATCATTATTTACCCCAGAAACAGAGTGATCGTGAATTACCCCGGGTCACCCTATATATCTTTCTTCAATTGATTCGAAACTAAACAACCCTGCAATTTTGGTTGGCGCAAACTGGTGGTAGCGATATCGAAATATCCTCAAAAATAATCCTTTGGAAAGCATTCCAACCTATTACTTACAGAAGGAAGTTATTTCTTAAAGAATGAGTTCATGTTTAAGAAATAGAAGAAAAAAAAGTTCATTCAATAAATTTTTTTAAATAAAAAATAGCTAATTGAAGTATCACAATAATTAGCACTAAATTAAATGAAACGAGATTCTAATCATGTTTGAAAAAATACATTATAATCGGTGTTGCTTTGTTTGAACTTTGAACGAAAGCAACAAGCAGTACAAACAATACATTAGCACAAACAAAGCTACATACCTTTTCCCATGGTGAAGGTTTTAAACTTGCAAGTGATCGAGCTAATAATTGAACAGCGTTAAAATAAAATTCTTTATTACTAACGCCAGCCATTGTGAATTACTTATCTAAGTTTTCCTATATGCGGTATTCTATAGGGAACAAGGAAAACTTAACAGAGAAATCATAATTTTTCAAGGATTTATTGATAACAATATTTTAAGCTTCTAAAGTTAAAATTATTGCAATTTACGTGCTTTATTTCATTAAAATTATACTTTTTACTAAGAAGTTTCGTTATTATCATGTTTGTTTACATTTTTCTGCTAACTAAAATTTCGCTCATCTGCTCTGTTCTCTTCACGAGATAAAAAAAATAAATATCAAAATCACAAACAAAATTTGTAAAATTAATTCTGTAATTTAAATTAAACACACTTGTTCAAAAACTATTATTTAGAAAAATTATTAAAACTGGTTTCATTGATAATTTTTTCTTGACTATTACACAATAAGTCCTTGTACCTTAACTGCAATCGTATTAGTTTAAGAAAAAAAATTGTCAACAAACAAAACAAATGGTGAATCTGTGTGGCGATGTCCAGACATTAAATAGCACGTTGTAATTTATTTATAATTAACAATGAATCAACAAGTACTTAGTGTAGAACCTGATGAAAAATGGTTCAAACAGGTTTAGAAATTTTTATATCTTTGTAAAATGAATTAAATGTGTCCTTATGTTACGGAATTTCTCAATGTTTAGAGCAATGCAAATAATAAAGCATTGTTCGAAAAATAATGACAATTTTTCGAAATCTAATTATTTATGAGTGTAAACATTTTTGCGGTTGTAACCAGAATACAGCATACCCTCATGCATTTGATTTAGTTGTCAACTGAATATACCTATTAAAAGAACGAAGCTAATTTGTTAACATAGAATTCTGTAACAGTCTCTAGTTATTTCATTTCTTTTCCAGCTTTTATGTGATTACAAAAATTTAAGTCTGAATATTTGAGGTTGGAAATGTTTTGTTGTAATTTACATTGGTTATATTTTTTAAAAGTTTTTTTAATGTTTTCAATCCTGTCCAAAATTGTCTTAATCTGTCAAGAACCCATGTAACTATGCTATAAATTCAAAACTCTTCTGCCTACGTCAATTTTGCAGTAGCTCCATTTGTAAAATTATTATAACAATGTGAAAAATTTAACAAAATGTTGTAAAAAATAATCTTATTTATTAAACCCTTATTTGGACCTGTGTTTGTAATGTATTAACAAAAAACTATTTAAAAAAAATAGATGATATTAGTACACAAAATTGTAACTAACTTTATTCTGCAAGGATTTTTTTTATTAAATTTTGATTCACTTTCATATTAAGTAATGTTCTATTTTTGTTGCATATTTGTAATATAAAGTTACTCATAAGATTTTCTTTCTGATGACTTTTTGTCTGAATAAAATCTTGCAAACAACTCCATACTAAAATCCCTGTATATAACACGGGGACAAGAAAACATGCAATATTAGTTCTTGATGCTAATTACCCAGATAAGTCGTCCCACTACGTCCAGTTCCCAATACTACATGCGGGTAAAGTTTTTTCTAGGTTTTCTAAAAGCACCTGGAATGAAGTTTAAGAATTGTGCTCATGGGAAGATTTCAGTATCATTATCTGGGGCAGAATAATTGCCAAGTCATGGCAACTTCCATGCAGTGGCCCGCGAGAAACGAAGAAGAAGAAAAACATCACGGAAAGGGACCAACTCGAAGGGTTTCAACCAACTCATAGCCACCCCTCGTGTTCATGATTGAAAATGATTTTTTCCTTTATAAAATCGAAATATCTTATATATACATAATTATTTAGTCTTGAACTATGTAAAGCTAGTAGTAATAATGATTTTAAGACTATGATAAAAAATTAAGAAGTTTGCCAAAAATATATAATATTCACAATATCTAGAATTTCTATTAAGTGTACTGTTATTATAGATTGGATATCTTGTCTTTAAAGGCTCTCTTTCCAAGTTTTTTCGCTCTGGCCTTTTGGCTGTTCACTCCCATCTGCTCTAAGCCGGAGCAGCCGAGATCTCGACAACTTAGGTTTTATTCCAGGTTTGCGGTCGAGCAATGGCTAGTCAATAGGATTTCTGCTTGTGACTTGAACTGACCACAGTGCTGAGATAAAATACTGTCAGTGGTAGATGGATCATGAACTGGAACCCCTTTGCCATCTATCTAATCCATAAAAGTTTCGGACTTTTCTTCTCCATGAAATACAAGTGTGGGTGAGTTCCTTCACAAAGGCTAGCTTCTCTCAATGCTTCATCCAGAAGTTTCTTCACCTTCTCCAGTAGGCTGTTGAATATTTAAAGTCGCAAACCCAAAACTGGGTCAATAGCAGTTATAAAATAAAATAAAACCATTTAGTGGGTTGTTTACCTTTTGGTTATTGCAAATATCAAAAATGGAAGTTTTTCTTCAATTTTTTAAGATGTTATTTCCTTTGTTGGGAATGCATAATGTCTACAAAATATCTAAAGAATATTAATTTGGAAAAAGTATTTCAAAAATATGCAAACATAAGTAAATGAAATATGGATACAATATAAATATGGTAAATCTCATACTGGTTGTTTATTATCCTTAGATTCCTAAATATTCTCCAAATAAGGATGTGCCTTCACCAGACACAGTTTTTGCTCTGAAGGCTGAAGCAGAAAATTTATTAGATTCTGAAGTTAAAGTTTATCACAAATGTAGGTTCTTATATTTTGATTGATCGTATCTGTAATTTCATTTCATTTTTCTTAATTTTGTTGTTACTTTAATACTAAATTTTTTTGATGTGAAAAAAATTTCTGTGACTTTTCTGTCTGATATTTTTAAAATGTATTTTTTATATTAAAAAAACAATTCTAGCAAAAAATAGAATTCATTTACAATATTTTTATTTTATTTAATGCTGCATTATGTTTATAAGCAAATTGCAGACCTCAAAGTGAGCTAAAGAACAAAACAGGAAAATTTTTTCACAGTGCACATGCACCAGACTACTTTTAAAAAAAGTAAACAAATTATATAAAAAAAGTTTAATTTGCTCTGCTAAAGTTTAATAAGAAAAATTTTAATACAAAAAAATATATACATAATGAATTCTACTATTTTTATATCAGATATATTTAATTCTTAAAAAAACTTTTCCAATTTTTTCAATAGAATTTTTTAAATGGAGCCCTGAGGAACTCAGCAATTTGAGGTCAATATTTAGGAAATTTAGTTGAACTGTTTCATTAAAAAATAATCAGTATCAATTAGTTAATATTTCTTCATACCAATATATTTATTTAAAATTTGCAATCAAGTTCATGACTTCTTTATTCGGAAATTTTAAAGGATTATTTCATTAGTTTCGATACAAAAACAGAGTGGATAATTGTCTTAGCATTTGTGTTCAAAAGCAATTTTCTGTATGAACTATTATTCAAAATAAAAAGATAGGAGAAAGATGCTCGACTATTTCGATTATCCAAAGCTACTATTCTAAGAAGTGCAGTAATTAGTATTTGTGGAAAATGCGATGTTTCGAACTTACTCAAATCAGAAATATCAGGACAGAAGCTGAAAATAAAGAACGAATAATGATAAAATGTGTTTCATCAGGAGCATCAGAAATTTCCACACAGCTGTAAACTCTGATGTTATTAAATTTAAAGCTCTATTATGTTAAAATAAATGAAAAAAAGTAGTAAATACTTTATTTATTATTAGATCCTCAGTACCAACATTTACTTTTGCTATTTTATATGCAACTCATATCATTTTTGTACTTTTTCATCATTCTATTATTTTTCAGTACTTTTTAATTATTATTAATATAAAATATGTGTGATATATTGCATATTCTTAAATATATTAAAATTTATATAAAAATTATATATTTATAAAGCATTTCCTATTCTGGTCACAGAATGTTAAATGCTACCATCATACTGTTAGTCACAGAATTACAGATGAAGCAGAACCTCAATCATATGAGGCATTGCAATCTCATTGTGAAAGCTTGGGGTTCGATCCCCAGTGATGGCTTTAAGCCTTACAACTTCAGATTGATGGATGGGGTAAAGGTGATTTGTGTTCAATGCTTACCGCTTAAAACTATCACTCAGGTGACAAGTTTTATTTAGTGCCCGAATTTTTTCTAGGTTATTGCTGGAATGTTTTATTTTAATGTGTCACAGATAAACCTGAGTTCTCTGTAATTGCTGTTTCAATGCCTATTTTGTTAACATGCAAATTTTTGTTATTTTTATTTCAAAACTTTGCTAACTATGGTGTTAAATTAAGTTTTAATTTGATTTTAACAGTGAAAGAGAATAAAAGAGATAAAGACTTTGTGTGGATTAAGAAGATCTTAAAAGCTGGCACTCTGTCCGATAAGATTTCTGCTCACACACTTCTGATACAAGACTGTCCTGTTTATAATTTGAACAGTTTGGAAGTTTTAATTGGAATGGTGAATACAAAGGGCAAAAGAGAGTGCTTAATGGCTATGGGTAAGTAATTTTTTTTTTTTCATTTATCTCATTCTTTTTTTATTTATTTATTTTTTTATGTGTTGTCAAAATCTTCAAAAATTATTTTTATATATTAGTAATTACATTATTATTGATATTTTAAAAAGCAGGGTGCCTGTTGTATTTAAGTTTAAATCTGTACTAAATACAAATTTGCGTATGTTCAACACAATTGTTGAATAAAAAAATTAAGTGTCTTAAAAAACTCATTACAGTTAAACTATTACAGTTAAAAATTTAAATTATTCAAACGAAATGTTTTGCTATGCATTATAATTCTGAAAATACCATTGTAACTTTATATATTATTTCAATTAAGCAGGGATGTCACTTTTCTTCCATAGTGGAAAAAACCACTGCAAAGACACACGTCTTTTATAACCGAAGTGGAAAAAACCCTTTTTTAAAAAGAAATAGCATTAAAATAGTTTTTACACAGTTATAATTGTTTAATATATTAACTTCCAAGCTATTTAATATATTATTTTTTAAATAGAGTAAACTTAAGCGCAATAATTGGAAGAAAAAAAATATTTAATGGTTTTCTTAAGAAATTAAATTAATTGTAGATCTTCAATATTTTATGTAAATGATTATAGTAAAACCTAAATTTATAATTGTATAAGGAACTGTTAAAATTTAATCAAAATTTATTAGTACTAAATTAATAACTCGCATAGTAAACAAGTAAACGACGAATCAAACATTGAATTCACAATTACAAATAGCATACTTCTTTTTTTATAATTAAGTACAGGTATACAGGTTAACCCCTTTAATAATATGATATATTAATTTTAAAATTCTCCATAGAGCTTAAGGGTAATTCAAGGACATAAAATTCATAAATTTTGAATGCCTATAATTAATTTAAAATCATCAAACGCTTTCAAAAATTTTTTTAAAGATAGATCTTGGAGTCCTCTATACTTGTTCAAAATCTTTTTAATTTTCATGATTTTGAAAAAAAAATTTTACAAATATAAACTTACTGTTAGGGATTCAACTCACTCAAATGTCAAAGTAGTTCTGTAAGCAGCTAATTTACGTATTTCCACAAATTATATCAAATTGTTGGGGGAAAAGTTTTTTATGTATATTCAGGAGAGTATGATGTTTTTGAACACATTCAAGTTTTAAACATTCTAATTTTTAACAATTATGAAGAGCACAAATTAATTTGTCACGAACATAACAGGTGGTCTTACAGACATAACACTCTATGATTTTAAATTACTGATTAGCTTTTACAAGATATTTTATTAAAATATATTTTAAGTAAAATGTAGTGTAAGTAAGAAATGAATGCATTAAAATTTATTAAGTAAGTAGTACATTTGTGTCACTTTTGTGATTTAGTAAGTAATAAATAATGCTTAGATTTTTAATAATTAAGTAAGAATTTATTTACAATGGGCAATTAACTTTATTATTAGTAAAAACGTCCCTTAAATCTTTGATTTGGCACTTTTGTTTAAAAAAAGACACAGTTCTGTACCTTGAAGCCATTTTTAAAAGTTTCTTAACAGGTTTTATTCTAACAATTATTTTTGCATATTCGATTATATTTTGAATGTATCTAGCCATCCTCCTCTGTGCAGATTAAGAAAATGGTGCAAACTGTAGTGTAATAAAATAACTTTAAAAAAAGAAATTTTGGCTGTGTAATTATTGAATACAGTGATTATTTTGAATATCTGTTAAGTATCAAACTTCAAAAACAGTTAAATTTTCCCTCTCTAAGTTGACTACTAAGTGGAACCAGACTTAGATAAAATGAAAAACTTTTTGAAAAGAATGAAAACTACTGAAACTAGAAATAAAAACTATTAACAAACTTTCTGCACATTGATTAAGTCTTGTAATTAGTTTCAACCCTTTTGTCGCCACCTCATTTTAGTAACAAAACAAAAAAATTTTAAATTTTAAAAATGCTTAATTTTTATAGAACTTGATATTGATTCATACCACAGGGAGGATTTTTGTAAAAAAAACTGAAAATAGAATACACTTTTTGAATAATTGAAAAAATACCTAAATTTTGTGCAAGAAAAAGTGTATGTAGGAAGCATTTATCCACAGAAGATTATCAACATTTTAATAAGAGTATTGATATGATTTAAACTGTATGAATCTCAATGTTTCATTTTTAAATTAAGAAAGTACTAATATCTACATTCAATTTTAAAATTGCGTGAATATGAGTCTTGATATTTGATTTCAAAATCGCATGAATATGAATCTCAATGTTTTATTTTAAAATTTGCGTGAATACAAATTCTGATGTATAATTTTTAAGCCACTTCACCATGCGTGATACAAAACACGATATTTGCTATGAAATGGAGAAAATACGAAACATGATGTTCGATATTAAATTGTGTGAATAGGAATTGCGATGTGTTATTTTAAATCATGTGAATGCAATTTTAAATCTCAATTACATTGGTAGGAAGACGTAGAAATAAATATTTTTTTCTCAGGAATTCAAAAAAGACAAACTTTCTTTGAAGTGGAAGATTTTTTTTGTTTCCTTTTTTAATAATAATAGAGATGAAATTCGTGGTGTTAAACAAATTTTCTGCGAATGATGTTTGTAAATTCGTGTATGTTATATGGGTCTGAGTGGAGCCATCAAATTGTTATCCCTCAGTTACAATGGTTTAACTGCATTTGAAAAGTTATTCCACCACTGCATTGTCAGTGGAAAGAATGAAATAAAGCCACAGTAATTTGAAAATGGAAAATGTTTGTGTTGTGTTGTTTGAATACACTGAGACCTGTTAAGTTGGCCAACTTAAACATGTTTTTGCTGTATTTGAAAAGTTGTTCCATTTACTGCATTGTCTCAGTTTATAAAAAAATGCGAAAATTGAGAATTATTCATTGATTTTTATTATTTAATCTAGTCAAGTCTTGGTACTTTAATGAATAAATAATTTATCTTAGTAATTTTTTAAGGAAGTTCATTAATTTATTAAGTATTAAAAATTGTTTTAAAGCCCAATCAGAGTGTTCAAGTTTAAAACAGATTTTTTTTGCTTAGCAATTTTATTTCTGGTTAAAATTGTCAAACACTTGCTTACCCCAATTTAATTTATAACTATGTATTTGTATTTAATTATTATTTAAATGTAATGTTCTAGTTTTCTTTATAAAAAAAACTTTTGATTTGTTTTAGATTCTTTACGAGATTTGTTTATTGGTAATTTACTTATAGAAGATAAAAAACTTAAATATTTCAATGAGGTAAGTTAAAACTTCCATTCAACTAATTATTATTTGCAACTGTTAAATGTTATTTTTTTTAGATCAAATTAATTTTTAATTCAGTTAATAGAGCTTGGAAAAGCATTTTGTGAAAAAATTTATATTGGTAACTAAATACAGTATACTCTCAATATCTTGAATTTCTATATCTCGAAAACTTTTTTGTGTCAAAAAAATATTTTCCCCTTCGGCATTACATATCCACATAATGTTAATTTGAATTCCTATATTGAATAGTGTCTGCTCAAAACCTTGTTATATTGTATATTTTTCAAATTAGAAAATTCTTTTTTTTTTTTTTTTTTTTTTTTTTTTTTTTTCTGAAAAATCACACTGTTTAGTATTGTAAACCAATTATTTTCTCTTTAATGTATAATTATTTTTGTCTTACTTTTAAAAATAAAATTATCATTACTGTATTTAGACTTACAATCAGCTATCAATACATAAATATATATTAGTAGTTATTCTTACTCTACTTTTTGAAACATTTTAATTCTGAAAAATTCTGTCTCGAAAATTCGTTATCTCAAAAAATTTTTAGTATCTCTTTTAACTTTGAGATGTCAAGAGTAAACTGTATATAATATTCATTTAAATCTGTCATCCATATATATGTAAAACAAGATGTGTGTTATTATAATTTCAACTAGGTTTATTCAACAACTGAAAATAACAATTTAAAATTAAATACCTCCTGGTATTATTATTGATAAGACCTTGATTTTCAAATTTTAAGGATAAAATAATTGATGCTTCCGCTATAATTCAAATATTTTTATTGTCACAAGTTGATCTGATTTCAATTATTTTAGACAACTGTATTTTTCAGTAGTTTCATGAAATTTCACCCAAAAGCTGTGTTAAATTATATCTAAAATTTATGTTTAAAATTAATATCAATAGATGGCGCTGTGCCAATTATTTACTTTCTCATATTTGTTATATTTTTATTCCCTCTTGTGCTGTCCATATGAAAAAAACGTTGCGTTCGTTTCTCCTGAGTCATGTTTATTTGGGTATCCAAGTTTCTTTAGAGTACAGATTTAATTACGGTGCCGAAATCCCTGGAATAGGGGTCTTTTTATGGAATTGAAAATTTTTGGAAGAATACTTGGATAAATTAATTTAGAACGATGGCTGCGAAAGAAGTAATAGGGAATCAAAAAATGAAACCAACTGTGGTAAGACAGCTAACTACTAAATTGATATCGAAAATTGAAGCAAGTTTTGCAGATGAATCGCAGGATGCTGAAAAAGCAGAACTTTTATTGGATTTAAGTGAGCAACTAAATGCAAAAATGATGGAATTAAAACAATTGGATGAAAAACTGGAATACACTGTTGCTGAACAGGAGTTCGCTAACGAAATAACCACCTGCCAAGAATATCAAGAAAAAATAGTTACATGGAAAGGTAGGATTCAGAGATTTTTAAATCGTTGTTCTTCTAACTCTAAAATTAATATCGAAAGTGATAGAAACGAAACTGTTAATGTTAAAACTGAATCAAAAATAATGAACCTACCTCGTCTGCAAATAGGAACATTTTACGGAGATTCTACCAAGTGGTTGGATTTTTATAATCAATTTGAAACAGCTATTCATAACAACAACGAATTACGAAAGACTGAAAAATTTGCATATTTGAAATCCTTGCTTGGAGGAAGCGCTCTCGCATCTAAATCTGGATTTGCCATTAGTGATCAGAATTATGATTCCTCTATCGAGATTCTGAAAGAGCGTTTTGGAAGAACGGACATTGTAATAAACTCTCATATGACGAAACTTCTTGCTATTGAACCTATTCGAAATGCTTCCAACTTAAAAGCTCTAAGAAGCTATATGATGAATGTGAAATACAAATAAGAAGCCTGTCATCATTGAATGTAACTGCAGGAAGTTATGGAAATTTACTATGCCCAATTATTCAGCAGAAGCTTCCAGAAGAGCTAAATTTTGAATTCAATCAATGTCGGAAATCAGAAAAAGAATTTGATACACAAGAACTTTTGAGTTTCTTGAAAAAGGAAATAAACTGTCGTGAAGTGGCTAGCTTAGTTAGTCACACGAAGAATAATTATAGCCAAGATTTATCAAGATTTGAGCAGAAGGGAAAATCTAACTTTTATCGGAATAAACCTGGAACTGCATCCGCCTTGTCAGCAATAAATTATCGATGCATTTTTTGTGACTGTGAAAATCATTCAAAGTATAACTGTAATGTTTTTGATATTGAGAAGAAGCTAGAATTCCTAAGAAGAAAAGGAAGATGTTTTTTATGTTTCGGAAGAAATCATATGTCCACTCAATCCAGAAATAAATTTTCGTGTAGAAAATGCAGAGGAAAACATCATGAATCAATTTGTTTAAAATCGGACTTGAATGACAAAGAAGAAGAGAAGGAGTCCAAAACATTAGAAGTAAGTCAAAATTCTTCATCTAAATTTGGATCTAATATAGATGCTATAGCAGAAGGACCTCAGAATCATTGTTTTGTAAGATGTTTAATTGACGGAGGTTCTCAAATTTCAGTTATTACTAAAGAATTATCCAGAAAATTAAATTTAAAAGTTAAAGGAGAAAAAGAAATGCAAATTCATACATTTGGTGAAAATCACCCGAAAAAATATAAAAACAAAATTGTAGAATTAACTTTAAGAAATATTAATGACCCTGAGAAAAGTATCACTTTTGATTTCATCGAAGTTTCAGTGATTACATCAGCGAACATAAAAATGCCAGGTAATCAAATAAAAAATAAACTGAAGAGCCTTGGAATAACGTTATTAGAGCCTAAGTGGAGTGATTCTAGATTTATGGGTGAAAGTGTTTCGATTTTGTTTGGCGCCGACATATTGTGTTCTATAAGTAATGATCGAATTAAAAGAATTAATTATTCTGCTGTTGCACTTGAAACTATTTTCGGATGGTGTGTGCAAGGGAAATTCCCCTCCTCAGACTGTAATGAATTGACGAATGTTATGACTAATCCGACCCTGGAAGAAAATATGAGTATAAACGAGTCCTTGAAAATGTTTTGGGAAACCGAATCAATTGGAATAAAAAATATCTGCGAAGAAACAGAAAAAGCTTTGGAATTATTTTCTTCATCTATCACTCAGAAGGAAAAGAGATATGAAATTAAATTACCGTGGAAGGAAGAAAAAATAAAACTTAAAGATAATTATAAAAATGCAAAATTTCATTTTTTCAAATTGTTGCAAACATTTAGGAAGAACTTAGAATTATTTGAAGAATATAAAGAAGTTGTTCAAGGGCAATTAAAAGAAAAAATAATAGAAAAAATTGGTGATGATTCAAAATGCAGTGACATAATATACTATATTCCTCATCATGCAGTGATAAGGCCTGAACACGCAACTACAAAATTAAGGATTGTGTATGATGCTTCATCAAAAGAAAAAGAGGAACTTTCTCTCAATGACTGCCTTTTAGATGGACCCAGTGGCGTAGCGAGGGGTTTGCAAGGGGGGGCATCATGCCCCGGGCGCAACTCACAAAGGGGCGCCAAATGGTCCGCAAAACAAAAAATTGCTGGATAATTTTTTTTTTATTATAATTGATTTCTGGAAAATATATTTCAAATTTAGTGCCAGTGTAATACACTGCTGGACAATTGCTAAGGACGGATCGCAAATTGCAATGTAGCATAACATTAAGCGAGACATGAGGCCTAGTAGGATAAAATATAGTTGCCACAATGTTCAGACATTAGAATAAAGAATATTCATTGTTCTGGAAAGAACAAAAGCTATGAAACATCTGAAAGAAAAAAAAAGTTCATTTGATGCTGCGTACGGAAAAATGGAACAATGCATCTAAATGTCAGCAGGCAACTTGAAGAAAGGTGTCAGTACGGGATATGTCCACTGTGGAGTGTGATGCAACATTCCACATGTCGTATCATACTTTGCACAACATTATCCAGCAGCTGTTGAGGCAATTTATCCCATTCCTATGTCAGTGCGCGGATGAGGGTGTTCTTGTTTGTCGGAGGATAGTTTCGACCAGCAAGTTGCTTCCCCAAAGCATCCCAAACATTTTCAATGGGGTTTAGATCTGAAGAACATGATGGCTATAGGAGGCGTTGAATACCCTTGCTGTCTAGACAATCCTGAAGAGCGAGTGTTCGACGACATGTTGAGTTGTCTTCCATAAAAACAAATTTATCACCGACAGCTCCATGGAAAAGACGAATATGAGGAAGTAGAACTTCATCAATGTATCGTTGGCCGTCATAGTCCCATTCGCAACCACATGTAGGCGCGTGCGGCCATTGATCATGATGCCGGCCCACACCATGACACTGTATGTCGGATATTGGTCCCTTTCCTGGATATTTTCTGGACGATAACCAGTACCACTCTCGCGCCAGATCAGTTGGAGTCTACAATCCGATGATGACAGACTGAACCTACTCTCATCTGGGAATAGTACGCATGCCCAGTCCTGTTCAGTCCAATTGTGATGCTCACGACACCATTGTAAACGGGCAGTACGGTGCTGTCTGGTCAATGGGACACACACAGCAGGTCTGCGGGCGTATAGTCCTCCTCCCCTCAAGCGTCTGGCAACAGTTTTTCGGGAGATCCTGTGGCAGCAAGAAACTGATTTGCCACCTGCTGAGCTGTGGTGCGACTGTTCTTTTTTGTTGATAGTACGATGTATCTGTCTTCTGCAGGAGTCTTACTTCTAACACGGCCTCCCCCGTGCCGCCTACTACATATTCCAGTAGTTTTAAATGATTTTCACAGCCGAGAAACAACGCTGTGAGCGATGTCAAACTCCCTGGCAACATCTGTTATTTTTTGCCCTTCTTCGATCTTTCCAATAATTCGGCCACGCTTAAAATCATCTAAGTGATATCGGGAAGACATGCTGAAAATTTCAAGTTCGTCAACTAAATCGTTCTTGTAAAACTTTGACTTGAAACAACAGCTCTCCACACGCGTCAAA